ACATGCCCCGACCAGAATCGAACCAGCGACCTCCTGATGCATGGGTTGACGCCCAACCACTAGGCCATCCTGGCCAGGCTCTTTTTTTCTTATAGGTGTCTGTTCCTGAATGCTAATTAATAAGAGCGGGAATTTCTTCCTTATTTGCCTTTTTAAAAAAATCCTCACTTGAGAACATGCTTAGAGAGAGGAAAGGGGGGAGAGGAGGGAGATGGGAGAGAAACATCTATCAGTGCCTCCTGTGTGTGCCCCAACCAGGGATCAAACCCACAACCTTTTGGTGTACAGGATGATGCTCCAACCAACCAAGCCACCCAGCTGTGAATTTGCATCTTTTATAATAAAGGATAACATCCTTTATATTCCTTGTAATAGTAAGTGAAGTGGCCCTGACCGATTTGGCTCAGTGCTTTGAGTGTCGGCCCAAGGACCAAAGAGTCTCAGTTCAATTCCTGGTCAAGGGCACATACCTGGGTTGCAGGTTCAATCCCTGGCCCTGGTTGGGGTCGTGCGGGAGGCAACCAATCGATGTTTCTCTCTCTCGCCCTTCCTCCCTCTCACTCGATCTAAAAATCAATGGGGAAAAAAATGTTTAAAAAAATAGTGAAGTGTTTCCCTGAGTTTTGTGAGCTGAGAGAAAATTATTAAGCCTGAATGAGGGGATCACAGGAACCCCCAGTTTGAGCTGAGAGAAAATTATTAAGCCTGAATGAGGGGATCACAGGTAACCAGGGGACCCACCTTTTATGATTGGTGTCTGAAGTTGAGTATAGTCTTGTGGGTTTGAGCCCTTAACCTATGCAGTATGCTAACTCCAAGTAGTTAATGTCAGAATTGAATTAAATTATAGGACACCCAGTTGGTGTCCAACGAGTTGGTTTGGGGAAAGAAACCCTCACACATTTGTTGTCAAAAGTGTTGTAATTAGAGAAAATTTTCTTTTAAAGTATTTATTTAGTACCACCCTGGCCAGTTTGGCTGAGCGATTGGAGCATCAGCCTGTGGACCTGAGAGTCCTGGGTTCAGTTCCTGCTAGGGGCACGTACCAAAAAAAATGTACTTAGTACCTACTGAGTGTCAATCATTGTACCTAGTGCTGGTAATGATTAGCTGGAAGGCATGGAGCCTCCCTCTGGTGGCTGAAGATGACAAATAAGCAGACAACTACAGAATATGCAAGGCCAGTACAGTAGTCCCTTGCCACTTCACGCTTCAACTTTCATGGCTTCATTCTATTGCGGTTTTTTCAAATATATTCATTAAAAAGTTCATCAAGATAGTGAAAATGATAGTGTGTGCTCGGTTGTCTGAGTCAATTATACACCCCTGTATTACAATTAAAATTAAAGTTACTGTACATATGGACTATAGGCCTATGTATTTGAGCACCCTGCAATTCCTTCAATGCCAGGTGCAACCGCTCCACCACTCCTTGTGTGTGGACAATAACTTTTTTCCAAAAAATTGGGTTTAGTGAAACCACGCCAGATTGTGCTGTTCACTGATTGGCTATCCTAGCCTCTTCCTATCCTGGCCACTAATTGGCTCAGCCCCTCCAAGTTCGTTTCTCTCATACACGCTTCTACATCACTACACATTGGAAGCATCTTTGCTCTTGTGTTTGCGATTTCTGAGAACTTTTATCTAAGCCCCACGATGGCTCCTAAACATGCTGCTTCTTCTAAGCCTTCTGATGATGAAACTAAGCGCCAGAGGAAGATGCTTACCATCCAGGAGAAGGTGATCTTGGATATGATCAAAGATGGCAAGAAAATTGTCAGGTTGCCCGCTATTAAAACTTGAATGACTCTACTATTCACTCCATCCGTAAAGATGAAAAGAATATCCATGCAACAGCTACTGTCTCTTTCAACAAGGAATCAAAGTGTTGTGACAAGTAATAAGTTCATAGTGAAAACAGTCTGCCCTAGCCGTTTGGATCAGCGACAGCCACAAGAAAAACACTCAGTTGGATTCGCTGGTCATCCGGGAGAAGGCGAGGAGGTTCTATCAGCGCTTTACGGCGGATGAACCTCAACCAGGACCCTCTTCTGCAATGTTCATGGATTTCATGGTGAGCAAGGGTTGGTTCGAGAAGTTCCAGAAGAGGTATCATCTGAAAAGTTTCGTTCTCCAGAGAAGCTGCCTCTGCTGACCAGCCTGCAGCAGAGAACTACATGAACACGTTCCAGATCCTTGAGGAGGGCAAGTATCATCCAGAACATGTGGATGAGCTGCTGGAGACATTCGGATCCCTTAACTGACGAGAATCTGGTGGAGATGACTAAGTAATCAATGCAATTTAAAGATATATTTTATTGATTTTAGAAAGAGAGGAAGGGAGAGGGAGAAAGAGAAACATCTATGTGAGAGCAAAACACTGAGGATCAAGCCCGCAACCCAGGCATGTGCCCTGACCAGGAATTGAACCAGCAACCTTTAGATGCACAGGTCGACACCCAACCAACTGGGCCTCGCTGGCCAGGGCTCAAAGCAATTTTTAAGAGAAGGAATGAAATTGGAAGATGCAACCTACCTAATTTCAAAACTTATTATAAAGCTACAGTAATCCAAATAGTTTGAGCCCTGGCCAGTTTGGCTCAGCGGTTGGAGCGCCGGCCCGTGGACCAGAGAGTCCCGGGTTCGGTTCCACTAAGGGCATGTACCTCAGTTGCAGTTAGTCCCCAGCCCCGGTTGGGGTCATGTGGGTGGCAACCACTCCATGTGTCTCTCTCACGTGGATGTTTCTCTCTCCCTCCCTATCTGAAGATAAATGCAAAAAAACAAAATGTCCTCAGGTGAGGATTAAAAACAAAAAACAAGAAACAGTTTGATATCAGTTAAAAGATAAACATAAAGTCCTGGCCAGTTTGGCTCAGCGTTTAGAGCACCGGCCTGCAGACCAGAGAGTCCCGGGTTCAGTTCCCCATAAGGGCACCTCAGTTGCAGTTTGTCCCCAGCCTCGGTTGTGTTTATATGGGTGGCAACCAGTTGATTTGTCTCTCTCACATCAATGTTTCTCCCTCCCCCCCCTTCCTGCTCTATCTGAAGATAAATGCAAAAAGTGTCCTCGGGTGAGGATTAAAAAAAAAAATTTTTTTTTAAAGCTAAACATAAAGAGCAATGGAACAAAGAGTCCAGAAATAGACCCATACATGGTAGGTCAAGTGATTTTTTTTTTTTTAATTTTATATTGGCCCAGCCGGTGTGGTTCAGTGGTTGAACTTCGACCCATGCACCAAGAGGTTGCCGGTCAGGGCACATGCCCAGGTGGTGGGCCAAATCCCAGTGCGGGGCATGTAGGAGGCAGCCAATCGATGTTCTCTCTCATCGATATTTCTATCTCCCTCTTCCTCTCCCTCTCCCTTCCTCTCTCTCTAAAATCAATAAAGAAAAAAATTTATATTGATTTTTTTTAATCCTCACTTGAGGACATTTTTTTTTTTGCATTTATCTTCAGATAAAACGGGAGGGAAATGGGGGTAAGAGAGAGAGAAACATCGATGTGAGAGAGACACATCAACTGGATGCCACCCACACAACCCCAACCAGGGCTGGGGGAAAACCGCAACCGAGGTACATTCCCTTAGCGGGAACCGAACCCAGAACTCTCTGGTGTGCAGGCTGATGCTCTACACGCTGAGCCAAACTGGCCAGGGCTTATATTGATTTTTGAGAGAGAGAAACATGAATTTGTTATTCCACCCACTTATGCATTCACTGGTTGATTCCTGTATGTGCCCTGACCTGGGATGTAACCTACAACCTCTGGATGTCTGGACTACATTCTAACCAGCTGAGCTACACAGCCAGGGCCTAAGTCTAGGTATTTAGCCAAGAGAAACAAAAACAAGTCTGTGTAAAGACTAATAGACAAATGTTCATAGCAACTATTATTTGTAATAGTCCAAAATTAGAAACCGAAATGGCCATCACCAACAGATGATTGGATAAACCCACACAATGTAATACTGCTCTGTAATAAAAACAAAAACAAATACCACATAACATGTTGGTACAAACAACAAGAATGAATTTCAAAATTATACTGAGTCAAGGAAGCCAGGCAAAAAAGAACATAGTGTACGATTTCACTTAAAATTCTCAGCACTTCGGTGGCCCAATTCCCATCCAGCTATTACTCCCCCATAAGCATATTTCCTGGCTCCTGTCAACTGGGATGTTTACTCTCTAATAAGCCTTGATCTACCCTACTTGTATATATATATATTCAGGCTATTCTCTACTATTACCACGTGTAGAAACTTGTCTTTTGTGGCATTCTCTTAACTGCCAAACATATGAGCCTCACTAGGTTAACTGTAGCTTTTAAGAGATAAGACAGATTGTGACTCATTTTTACACTTTTCCCCACCTTCTCCCGCCCTCTCCCGCCCCATTTCGGTGCCTCGCCCAAGGTTTACCACTCATTCTGCATTTGCAGAATTTAAGAACGCGAGTAGAAACAAACGAAAACACACTTAACAAATGCCTGCAGCATTCTACTAGGCCCTCCAGGTTTGTAGCTCTTAATGCTTAGCAAGATGTTATCTCGATCTTACAGTTTAATAAAATTATGCTTAAACAAGACACCTGGTCGGACACTACAGCCCGAGAGAGTACAAAAAGACCTTGCATCCCATGGAGGCCTGAGGCCCTGGCCACCATCCCTTCCAGAGAATCTTAATACTGTGAACGAATTTGCAAGCACATAGCCATACGAACTCTCTCTTGCTCGACTTTCGAGAGGAGAGACCGGGGTCCCAGTCCAAATACGAAAACAGTTCTAATTGGACCTACAACGCCTTCCTCTGACTCCCAAATTCCCAGTAGAAACTTAACGCCACCACAGTAACTGTGGAGAGCACAGAACGCGCGGCGGAAATAGGAAGAGGAATCGCCAGCCCACCTGGGCGTGTCTGATTGGTTGCCGACTAAGCTTGGAACGCTGGGGCCTGTGGCGTCACATCCGCCGGCCCGCCATCTTGTTCCCGGGGCAGTTGGCGGAAGAGATTGCGCTCCCTGGCCGCCGGCTCGCCTTCTGCTGGGAGTTCTCGCGGCCAGCGTCTCGGTGTCTGCTCTCGACCCGGAGTTCATTTGTCGGCGTCCGCGTCGCCCTCCCTCTCCCGGACTGGGCACAGCGAGGCGGCTCCCTCTCCTGACGGCGTTCCATGGAGTAGGGTCCTGGACCGTTGTCCCGAAGAGCGATTGAGCTTGGCCCCCTCCCCCCTCCTCCCTCCCTCCTTCCGCCGCAACATGGCTAACAACAGCCCCGCGCTGACAGGCAACTCGCAGCCGCAGCACCAGGCGGCCGCGGCCGCGGCCCAGCAGCAGCAGCAGTGCGGCGGCGGCGGCGGTGCCACCAAGCCGGCGGTCTCGGGCAAACAGGGCAATGTGCTGCCGCTGTGGGGCAACGAGAAGACTATGAACCTCAACCCCATGATCTTAACCAATATCCTGTCGTCGCCTTACTTCAAAGTGCAGCTCTACGAGCTGAAGACCTACCACGAGGTGGTGGACGAGATCTACTTTAAGGTATGAAGCGTCTAGGCCCGAGCAGGAGTCAAGTTCGGAAAAGGGAGTATGGAGGAAACGAGAGCAGGCGGCCCCAGAGGTCTGAAGATTTGTGGGTGCGGGGAAGGCTGGGTGGGTGCAGGGGGGCTGTGGCCAGTAGTCTGTCAGAGAGAGGTCAGACTGGGGCCGCCCTCATTTCCTTTTCAGATGTTTAGGGCCAGGAGAGCCTGCCGCTGTTGATCTCTCACCTCCCACCCCCCGTACCCCCTGCCCACCCCTGGGGGGAGTTGGACAAGAAGGGTGGGGGAGAGCAGAAAAGAGTAACTGACGCCTCTCCAGTTCACAACTTTAAAATTATTCCTTTTGATGTGGATCTACTCGGCGCCAACTTGTTGGTGCTTCTCCCGCTCACCCCGACCAGGGAGTGTATTGCTTCAATGTTGGCCTCGTGTTCTTGGTATTTACTATCCAGACAGGGAAATGGTCAGTGCGGGTGGGGTGGGAGGGTTGAGGGTGGAGAGGTGCCAGTGCAGGAGGTGTACAGAAGGCCTGGAAATTTTCCCAGCAGGAAGTCAGGAGTAAGTGGTCTTTGTTACCTGTGCGTTGGGCTTATTAAAATTATCTGGGCCCTGGGCTTCTGCGGCAGGGTCGGTGCTGGCTTGGCTGTGCTGGGGAGCTCACCTGGCGCCTCCTCACTGCACTCTTGTCTCAGTTCTTGTTTCGTTAGCAGGATTGACTCAGTCTTGCAGCGAGGCTCGGAGCAGCCCAGGGTCGCAGGTAGAGGTATGCACTATTAATCATGCTCAATCGCCATAAATGCATTTCCCTGGGTTAAATGAACAGTTAATTAGATTTTTTTTGGCCATTGGTTTTGGTCTTTTCTTTACCAACCAGATAGGCTTTTACCAGGTTCCTGCAAACTACGTAGTTTTTTAAAGATGTCTTCCGGGCCTCCTAAGGTTATATTTTAAAGAACACTTATAACACTTATTGACTATCTTTTAAATATTTTAGGTAGAGCATCTAATATAATACAATCCGTTTTGTCTATGTTAACTCTTAAAACACTTAATAGACCACATAAAGTATTTTCTGAGTTGAACATATATGTAGAGGTGTTAACAAAAGTTAACTTTTATTTCCTGTTATATTGTGTCCACCTTTTTCCCAATTAAGTGATTATGTTAGAAGGATTTATTTGTTTATTTTACATCAATTCCTTTCGATAGAAAAATCATTTTGAGAATACAGTTCAGCTGTGGGTATAAAAAGTACCCTGAAATTTTGATATCCTTTTGCAAGAGTATTGCAATTCTATCAACTAGGTTTTTTAGTGTTTTTTTGTTGTTGTTGTTGTTGTTGTTGTTTTAAAGAAACCTTTTTCAGCACGGATACAGACAGTGTACTGAATATTCAACCCTTAGCTTTATTTAGTAGTAAACTTCAAACAGTTAAAAATTGGGTTCCTGCTCTTTTTGTGGCAGGTTCTGTTTAATATCAGGTAAATGTTAATGTGATAGAGGAAAAGCTTGTTTTCAAATTTCAAATGACTAAGATTCTACTACAAAGTATTTTAATTTAGTTGCAACACTAACACCCCCGCTCCCCCCAAGCCCCAAAGCCCCAGGCTTTCTTATCAAGACATTCGATCATAAATGATCACTGAAATGTGGAGGCTTCAATTTTGTAAGTCCCTTTTGAGTTGCATCCACTGCTTTGGCTAGCCTTTAAGGAATTGAAACATCTTTTATGCAGCAAGCTGGGGGAAGGAAACTCAACAGTGAAGCAGTGCAGGAGTCAGCTGAGCAAAATAGTTTAGTGCTTTACATTTGAATGCCTGCTTTTCCTGTCTGAAGCCACTGAAAAAGACTAAAATGTAACTAACCATGGGTAGATGGAAATAGTGCTTTAGAAATACTAGTGAAAGAACAGGATTTTATTTTGCTTTTAAGAAACAATGGATCTTATCTTTCCAAAGGCCTTGTTACGTTATATCTTTTGTAGAGCTAATATGCCTTCTTTGCTATATTTTAGGTAAAGTACGTGGTTTTTATAGGGTGCCCACCTTAAAAAAGATGAAACTGAATCTTTGGGTATACTTAGTGAAATGACTAATCACATTTATTCAATTAAATTGGTTCATATAATTAGGTTGAAAATACACGCTGACTGACAGGAATGATTTCTGTAGGTGTGGTCTTTGTAATGTCATCTTTAATCAGGAATGAATATAATGCCTGATCACGGTTAAAAAATAATAGTAAAATTCCAAAATTTTGCATCAGAAATAACTTCTGTTTTAGCATACTTCAGGTCGTTTTTCTTTTAATGTTCAATTTAAAAATCACCATAAAATTGAACTATTAAGGGTATTTAAAATATTTTTTAAACTAAATACTTAATGTTTTTGTTTTAAGTAGGATTTTCATCTATTTTAAAATGAGAATCTTTATTTTTTAAGCAATTCATAAAAAGCAATCGAATTGGTATAATACCAGTTTTTTGTGGGTTTTTTTTTTTACAAGTATATGAGACTGGAAATGTTCTGGCTCCACATGTACCAGCTCTCTACAAAGCTCATGGGATTTCTGCTCTGTAAAGCTGTTGAGTTTTTGTTAAACCCTGGTAGCTTTACTGGTGCTCTTTAAATATCAAAGCAGTTTTTCAAAGATGGTTTACATACTTAATGTGTGTAAACAAAATATATAAACCATGTCAAAATACCCAATTCCAAACTTTTGGAAGAGCTGCTCTGTAATGGACTTGAGTTTACTTTAATCATACTTGTAAAAAATTCGAAGTATGAATGTGTGTTGTGTTCCTCTTTTCTATTTTCAGGTCACACATGTTGAACCATGGGAGAAAGGAAGCAGGAAGACAGCAGGCCAAACAGGGATGTGCGGAGGGGTAAGTAGAAGTACGTGCATTTTTCAGTTTTTTGGTGTCTGATAACAAAGTTTATACTTATGTCAGTTACACGCTCAAATGATAGTTGGAAGAGCTTAGATGTTGGGTTTTTTGGGGTTTTTTTTTTTGTTTTTAATCTAATTTCAAGTGTCCTGTGACTGGAGTTAGAAGTTATATTTTTATACTCCTTTCTCAGTTCTGGATTATATCTTGTTAATCATTTGGGGTTAAGTAACTCCATTAATTATTTTACTACCTTTTTTTAAAATTCTTTCCCTTTAAGGTTCGAGGTGTTGGAACAGGAGGAATTGTTTCTACAGCCTTTTGCCTGTTATATAAATTATTTACTCTGAAGTTAACTCGCAAGCAAGTAATGGGTCTCATAACACACACAGACTCACCATATATTAGAGCCCTTGGATTTATGTATATAAGGTGAGTGGGCATTTATCTACATTTTCAGTAAGTATTTCATTTTAATTCACATAAGCCTAATCAGTCTTTTGTTATTCTAGGTACACGCAGCCCCCTACAGATCTATGGGACTGGTTTGAATCCTTCCTTGATGATGAAGAGGTATGTCAGCAAGGGTAATAATTAGTTTTTTCTAATTACTCTCGTGTTTTTAATATCTTTTGTTTGTTGGAGGTTTAATGTCTTCCAGAATTTTTTGTAGTTAAATTAATTTCACTCAAATACTTTTGGAATTAATGTCCTTTTACTAAGACTTGGTGGGTTTTATATATCTCGGGTTAATTTTTCTAAAGTTTTCTTTTCTGATTTTTATGTTAAATGTTTTTTTATAACTATTAAGACTTTTTTCCTTTCATGTTATGTGTGTGGTATTGGTCTTGTACAGTTGGTTGTGACTTTTTAAGGTGGACCATGCTCAAGATTGAAGTGATAAGACAGGCACATAGAATGCTAATTATACTGTTTTTTCTGGAACTTTCTAGTTCTTTACTGTTTAACTTCTTTCTAATATTTTTGCTTGGATAGAAGTGCAGAATTGAAGAGCTGGGTGGAACTTAAGTAGGCTGAGAGTTAAGATGATTTATTTAAGGTGACCATAATATTTCAAGTCTAGCTTTCTGACTCCTATTATACTATAAATATTTACAAAGCTAGTAAACCTTTTCTTTAAAATTATTTTAAATATTGTTTTAATTATAAATTTAATTTGCCATTTGAACTTAAACAAGATTGAGCAGGTTGCATATGTTCTGAAAAGAAGAATTACTTTGGGATACTTGACTTTGTCAGATTTAAATCATACATGTATTGGTAATCATACCTAGTGAAACCCAAGCGCTCAAAGAAGAATTAATAGTGAGCTTTATTTTCCATATATCTACCCTTAACACTACTTTATGTTTTCAGGTTCATAAAGTAAACTTTGAGCGCTATGTTTCAGTAGTCTTGTTTTTATTTTATTATTAATACATTTTTTAAATTGTCCTTGCGTGCCTTTAAAAGCCAGCTCTATACTCAGGACGGCAGGAAGATTGCTGTGTGTCCTGCCAGACCCCCCTGTCAAAGCTGAGCAAAGAGGAGCAGAGAAAGCACAGGCCAGGATAAGTCAGTAGTCTGTTTTTAAAGTTTATCTGAAGAATTTGTTGAATTAAAGGATAGCTGTAATAGAAATCTTTCTAGTGTGTTATATGTGCACACCTAAAAAAGTTCTCACTCATATAAACATGGAAAACTTTTGTCTGCTTTCTTTGCCTATTTACTGAGTTGCGCAGTGTCCCCCAAGAAACAAAAGGCGTGTTAGGTGATAAACCGTAATCTACATATTTTTTCTTTTTAGATGAGATATTTTAGACTGAAGCGCTTCTACCTTCTATATTTAAAAAGCATGTGCCTTTTCATAATTGGTATTGTATTAGGTTTGTTTCTGAATGTTTCTACATAATCTGTTTTTTATTATGTTTACAAACCTGAGGATCTCTATTCAAGCTAACTTATTGTTTTCTTCCTTAGATATCTGCAGCGATTATATTTGGAAATACTGTATATCTGAACACTTAAATGTGTGTGAGTGCAAGCAGTTTTACCTTTAGCTCTTGTTTTCCTGTTTAGATAACAAATCTCACTTTCCTTGTGTGCTTGCACTATAGGTTTGGGACTGACAATAGCTGACTAACATGTCCTGAGCTGTGAGAGGGCATAGCAAGAAGGCCTTCATGCGGTAATGACCCTTTTCAGAGACAATGGTCATCATGGATTATGCGTTTCCAATTATTTGTTCATTTATTTATTTTCTACATGACTCTAAATTAGAAACCTCACTGCTTCATGGCAGTTGGTTTGCTATTGCTTCCAGTTTTATTAGGGCTTCATTTTATAATAGAGCTGTCGAAAGATAGTATTTAGACAGGAATTGTCTGAAGTAGTTCATATGTAGCTAGGTCACAGTACTAGGAATGATGTGTGCAAACATTTCCACAAAAATCACTATATACATAGTGGGTATGTGGAATGCAAATTTAAGTTGATTTTTCCACATAGTTAAGTAATGTAAGGGGCTGTTTCATATTTTTACTGAGTGAGATCAGTTTTCTCTATGCCCAGGAGGCTGCAGGATTTGTTCGCACCTGCATGCACAGAATTAAGCCCAAGTATTTCTCTGTATCATTCATTACCAGATCAGGAGGGTACACATTGAAATTGTCCTTTTAGAATTTTTTTTTTTTTTTGTATTTGAGATTCCAAAGATGGTAATTTTTTTATAGTAATCATATATATTGAAATAATTATTTTTGACGGCTAGGGTATCTTTTGTGTTTCTGTAGGACCTAGATGTGAAGGCTGGTGGAGGCTGTGTAATGACCATTGGAGAAATGCTGCGGTCTTTTCTCACAAAACTGGAGTGGTTTTCTACCTTATTTCCAAGAATTCCAGTTCCAGTGCAGAAGAATATTGATCAGCAGATTAAAACACGGCCTAGGAAAATCAAGAAAGAAGGGAAGGAAAGTGCTGAGGAAGTAGACAGACATGTTGAACGCAGACGTTCAAGGTAATGTAACTCTTAAATTAAGCTAATTTTAAAAATATGCTTTATACAAAGATCCTTAAAATCTGGCAAGTTCTGTTTATAGTGTTCATTTTACGGGTTTGTCGCTTTTTCTCCTGAAAGATCATTTTCTGCCTTTCATGGCATTTTCAACAAAATTATGTATCTGTAAATGTGAACAAGCAAAATTATTCTTGACATGTTTATGTAAGCTAGGGATCTAAATAAATAACGTTGATGAAAGTTATATCTTTTACAATGTGTTTAATTCAAGTTCTTGTCTTTCCTCCCCCTTTCTTAATTATTAGGTCTCCAAGAAGATCATTGAGTCCACGGAGGTCCCCAAGAAGATCAAGGAGTAGAAGCCATCATCGGGAAGGCCATGGATGCTCTAGTTTTGACCGAGAATTAGAGAGAGAGAAAGAACGCCAGCGACTAGAGCGTGAAGCCAAAGAAAGAGAGAAAGAAAGGCGAAGATCCCGGAGTATTGATCGGGGTTTAGAGCGCAGGCATAGCAGGAGTAGGGAAAGGCATAGAAGTCGTAGTCGAAGTCGTGATAGGAAAGGAGATAGAAGGGATAGGGATCGGGAAAGAGAGAAAGAAAATGAGAGAGGTAGAAGACGTGATCGTGACTATGATAAGGAAAGAGGTAATGACCGAGAAAAGGAGAGAGAGCGATCACGAGAACGGTCCAAGGAACGGAGAAGCAGGGGTGAAGTGGAAGAAAAAAAACATAAAGAAGACAAAGATGATAGACGGCATAGAGATGACAAAAAAGATTCCAAGAAAGAGAAAAAACACAGTAGAAGCAGAAGCAGAGAAAGGAAACATAGAAGTAGGAGTAGAAGTAGGAATGCAGGGAAACGGAGTAGAAGCAGGAGCAAAGAGAAATCAAGTAAGCATAAAAGTGAAAGCAAGGAGAAGTCATCAAATAAACGGAGTCGAAGTGGCAGTCAAGGAAGAACTGACAGTGTTGAAAAATCAAGAAAACGGGAACGTAGCCCCAGCAAAGATAAATCTAGAAAGCGTAGTGGAAGCAAAGAACGTTCCCACAAACGGGATCACAGTGATAGTAAGGACCAGTCTGACAAACATGATCATCGAAGGAGCCAAAGTATAGAACCAGAGAGCCAAGAAAAACAACATAAAAACAAAGATGAGACTGTGTGAAAATGTTTTGTGAAAGTGGATCACATTGAATCCTATAAATCTTTGATTAAATCTGCTTTTTTTCCCCCTCCCGAGTTGAGATTGTTGCAGTAGTATGTACTATTCAAGCTCCCTGTAGGCTGCATTTTCATTTCCTCTTTTGTGTAGGGAAGTGCCTTTGTAATCCCATTTATTGCGTTGATATTTTCACCCAATTATTGAGTTTGATACATGATGCACAGATTGTTCTTGCATTTTTATTGTTTAATTGTTTTTGAGGTGTACAGTCTGTACATATGTCCTGAAAAAGTTTTAATTTCTTTGGCATGGTTGCCATGTTGGTTAAATTTGTATAAGGCAATAAACTGCCACTAATTCTATTTTTGCTTTGTAGGTGTGGGATTATGGTTTGTGTACTAAAGTTAGCATGGCTGTGCTTTTCGTAATAGAATGCTAAAGACTTTGAGAATGGATCTTGGGTGTTTATAATAGGAGAATTATGTGCTTTCAATGTACATGAAGGCAGCAGTTGTAGGATTAACATTCTTGTCCATTGTATATTATCTTGGAAGGCTCTTGTTAATATGTTACAATTAATCTCCACTGTTTAGGGAGAATTTATGAGTAGTTTCTGATACAGAGGTTTAAATTAGGCTGTGATTTGATCAAAAGTCCTTGTAGCATTCTACCTCAAAGGGACACTTAGTATGCCTAAAATTTATTCATTTAGGTTTTTTTATTTGAAAAAATACATCACATGTATTCTTTCTTTTAAATTTCTCAGATTTTAAAGTACTATATTAAAGGGAAAAATGTCTAAAGCCCAGATTTCTTGCAGCAACCCTGTACTAACATGAAATTGGGGAGAGGGTGGGGCAGGTGATGAGTAGAGAAATAGATTCAAGCCTCAAGCTTCCAAAGCATTTTTATAAGTGGAAAATACTTAAATTATAAAACAGCTTGATATAGTGTCCTTTTTTTAAAATTCAAAACTTTTTTATTGATAATGAAGAGTGCTGTTGAGTTTTTAAACTTAATCTAGAGCAGAGAAGTATTAAAAGTAATGCTATGCTGCATTATTTAAGATTATTGGCAAATTATTTGATAGATTGTTCTTATGACTTGTATTCTGATTACAGAGAAGGATCATGAGTGTGGAATAAATACTGGATTAAATCCTTTATCCTGGGTGTTGACTTTTCCCCTATGTGTTAATATTTTTTTAAAGTATTTTTGTGTAAATTGGTAAAATGTTAGTACAGTCACACTGTGTGTAGGGGTATTTTTCAGTGATTTTAAGCGTGTAGACTAGAATTGGACATATTGATACTCAGTAATCCTTATTTGAGTTCTTAATGGCAGTTCCATTTGTTCTTGGGTGTTGTGTTACTGAATTGTTCTTTGGTTTGGGTGATGACTCAGTCTCACATCAAAGGTGCTTATTGAGGTAACTTTTCACTTGGATCACATAATTGGATTTAAAGGGGCTTTTATAAATTAACTCACTCTTTAGAGCAAAGAAACAGGCTCAGAGCGATTGGTTAGGTCAGTGCCAGGACTAACATGAGTGTTCCTGAAATCCTATCATATTAACATCTATTTGGTCTCGCTGCTTATATTGGCCAACTGATGGGCACTCAGAAGCCACCTGGCACCGTGTTAAATGGAGCAAACAAGTATATTGGAAGAGCCAGCCCTTCATGTGTGGGCTTAACATTTGTACCTACCTAACTCCGGAAAAATCTCATTAAATGAAGGAATTTCTCTATGAAAATGCTATGCTTTTTTTTTTTTTTTTTTAAGAGTAGAAGATTGTTTTAAATTGAGATCGAGTGAATTGACATGTAGAAATTAGAAAACTATTTTTGAGTAATGAAAACCAGTAGATATCTCACATGGAAAATATTTTTGTATATCTAAGTTAATGGTGCTTCTCCTTAGAATATAGTTCCACCTAAATTATTAATTCAACAGTGTATTTTAAGTAAAATGTAGAATTTATTTCAAATGGAGGTGAAAGTTCTATCACAAGCTGCATTTGATTTCTTATGACACTTAACAGAGTGTTTTCAAGGAATATTTTGATAGAACATATAATATTAAGGCCAAATATATTCAGGATTATTTCTTAGAACATGAGAAAACTTGAAAAATTTTTGGTAACTAGCAGCCACCATCCAATTTTACTCATTGAAATGGTTTCACCCTTCCATGTATTGTACCTTTCATCTGTTTTCCCATGTTCAGTTTGCAATTAAATTCTTTACATGTGCTAGTCTATTAATAATCTTGAGATTTTAATAGGAATTTTCCATATAAATGTTGCCCAATTAACCTCTTAGTTTAGTTCCTTAGTTCTTAACCTTTGAGTTAAGACCCCATTTTAGGAATCTAATGAAAGCTACTGATCATGTCTGAAAAATAAAAGAGCTCACCTTGGCTGGGTAGTTCGATTGGTTAGTGTTGTCCTGATAGGCCAAGATCGTGGGTTGGATCCCTGGTTGGAGTACATACAAGAAGCAACCAATGAATGCCTAAGTAAGTGGAGCCAACAAACTGATGTTTCTTGCCCACTCTTTAAAATAGAAACCTTTTTTGAAAATATAAAATAGCCCTGGCTGGTTTGGCTCAGCGGTTAGAGTGTTGGCCAGTGGACCAAAGAGTCTCCGGTTCGATTCCGATTCCAGCACATACCTCAGTTGCACTTCAGGTTGTGGTTGGTTTACTGCCCTGGTCAAAGTCCTGCGGGGTCCTACAAGAGTTTCCCTCTCCTCTTCCACTCCCTGTCCCACTCTTCCCTCTCCCTATCTGAAGATAAATAGAAAAATGTTCTTGGGTGAGGATTAAAAAAGGGAAAAAATATGTAAAATGAAAGCTGGAATTTGTATGAGATTTCAAAAGGACTAAACTGCTCTTGGACTTTTGTGCTGTTTACTTAACTGGTTTTTAAAAACCTGTGATTAAGTGTCCAGTGGGGAATGAAGAGCAAATTTAAGTTACTGGGAGAATCCCACGACAGTAGCAGTTTGTGTTTTCAAGATGAAATGAGAAAAAAAAAAGGTAATCACTTAATTCCCATCTGAAAAAGAGTTGTCCTTTATGAATATAAGTAGTTTTTTATTTACACATAGAGGTGAGGCCTAGATGTTGGCAGTTTAACTGATTCCAATGTGTGGCCTTGATTAAACACTGACTAGTTGACCAGGACTCTGGTTACACTGGCCAACTGATAAGCTTCAACTTCGTTTGGGTCCTAATCTGATTCTGTCACCTCAACTGCTAAACCCAATTACAGGGCCTCTTCAGTAGAGCTGATCTTATGGGAAAGGAAACATTTCTCCCTGATAGTTACAGTCTTCCTGAAATTCCTCCATTGCAGTCTATGAGGTCTGCCAGCTGTTTGACTTCTGAAGTATTTTTTCATTTTAGGATCACTAGCTGTCAACATTGGTTATTGTAGGAATATGACAGCATGAATACAATCTACTGAAAAATATTAGCATCATAGCTGACTTGAAATCCATTATTTCTCAACTTAGTTGAATTTCTGTGGTATAATCATGATACATAATGTAATGCACAGGTAAGGTGTGTTCAGGTTGTGGGGAGAGGGGTATTCTTTCAACCTGTTGCAAACACGAGTTATATTATTATTTTTTTTTATCCTCATCCGAGGATATTTTTCCATTTTTTGTACAAATAGAGTGGGAGGGAGGGAGAGAGAGAAACATCGACGTGAAGGGACACATCGAGTGGCTGCCACCCACACGACCAACCAGGGCCGGGGACAAACTGCAACCGAAGTACGTGCCCTTAGCGGGAACTGAACCCAGGTCTCTCCGGACCACAGGCCGATGCTCTAACCGCTGAGCCAAACCGGCCAGGGCACAAACACGAGTTATATTAAACAGCTAGCCTCAGCTCCCAAGTCCACTCTTCATTGCTCTACATTGTTATACTGGAGCTGAGCCCTTAATGTTTCTCTTTTGCCGGCTGACACAATATTAAACTGGTCAGTAAAGGATGCTGCAGAAGAAAGAAACTGCTTCCTGGTTCTGGTGTTTTTTTCCTTCTGCAGTGTATAGGGCCATTGGCGTATCCAGTGGCACTTCACAGGAGGGTGTTTCCCAGCAAGTCGTCTGGTATCCCCTTCGCCACCTTCCCAGCAATTCTTGCTGGTACTTCAGCAGACTTCCTAGTAAGTCTCAATGGCATCCCAATGGGTGGCTTCCTAGCTAGTTTTGTTAACACTCCTTCCCCTCCAGCCCCCAGACTTCAGTACCTCAGCAAAGAGTGAGTCACAGTCACACCCTCTCCAACAAAGTCTGAACGTCAGTCTCACAAGGGAACCTCTTCCAAATTTGTTCCTTGGATCCTCTCCCTAGAGGTAGTGGCTGCTCCTATAGCCACTATTCCTGTATTATTAAGCATTCTCTTTACCCTTAGTAATTAATCCTCTGTTACTGGTGAGTAATTTTATCAAAATTTCTGTTCAAATTACTGTGTTTTCTGCCTGTTGACTGGCCCCTGGCATTTACAGTGGATTAAGATGCCAGTCATAAGGGTGCCATTTCATTAGGCTGGTTGGTTGATAACCCCCTGATGTAGTCTAGTACAAAGGGCTCAATCAGATACATTTGTTGAGAATTATGTAAGTGAATCAGACTGGCTCCTAGAATTTTTCTTTCTCAGCACAAGAACATGTTCCTGCCCTTCTTTTTTTTGAGATATAATTGAACAACAAAAAATAGGAGATAAAATTGACATACAATGTGTAAGTTTAGGTGAACGACCTATTGGTTTGACACATATTACAATGTGATTACTACAGTAGCATTAGCTAAACACCTCCATCAGATCACTGAATTATTTCTTTTTTGTGTGGAGAACGATTAAGATCTAGTCTCTTTTAGGTTTATAATACAATATCATGGACTATTATCACTGTGCTGTGAGTTAGATCTCCAGGACTTATTTATCTGCTAGTCATAAGTTCATACCCTTAAGCAACACCTTCCTAAATGCTCCACCCACCCCAGCCCCATGCCCTGTTGTCTTTTAAGTTGAAGTTTTACAGCAAATTGCTCCCAACAGCAGACTGATCACTTTCTATGAAGACAATAAGAACAACAAAGGTGAAAAGGGATGAATAAAACTGGTCAGGATCCCCAAATTGAAAATGAGCATTCCACTATCTCAACAATATTCTATACAGCTTTGTAACATTTTTATTTAGAAACAAAGGTTTTTTAAAAAAGGAAAGGAAAGCCTTCTACATATTACCTTCAAACCCAGGTTACAGAAGCTTTTTGGCCTGCTTGGTGTGGCTTTCTTCAACTCTTTTTTTCAATCTTTGCAATACCTGTCCCTGCCAGTCTCCAAGTGCCCCTGGTTACAGGTCAGCGCCACACTGAAAGGGAGGAGCTATTTGCCAGGATCTGTTCCCAGCACCACAGCCCCACATCCCAGTGACCTATAGTGCTGCCCTCCTGGGGACCAACAAGGACCCCGGATCGCTACGCTGTGTACCCTGTGAGTGCCGTGTCCAACATGATGGCTGGTCGGCCCAAGAAATGCTTGTCTTTGATTGGATTCAGTCTTCTCTGTCTTAAAATGGTGAGCTGACCATTCTGACCTACCTGCAACTATTTAGGTGGGAGGGCAGACATTCACTATCTTTCTCTTTTAAGGCCTAGGGGGTGAGGAGATAGAATACTTTTGGACCATACCACGACTGTGTATGTCTGTGTGTTTGAAATGTGATGCGATTTACTAGAGAAAGAAAGCAAAATTATTATATTTCAAGAACAAAGATTTCTGAAAAATCTGTCAGCGTCTAATGACTTAGTTCAATAGGCAGTTTCAGGGAGAAAAATGAAATAGTAATGTGATCTGTCTCCAGCCTCTAAATTCTATTTAGGATTGCTTTGTAGTAGATTTGAGTGTGGGGAAATGATTTGTGCAAATAAACACTCTGCATGGATTAAAAGATGGCTCACACGATATGTAAAAATGTGATGAATTTATTCCCGAGCTGATAGATGTTTTCGCATTTTCCCAAATGGTGTTTTTCTTTATGGTTCTAATTTTCTAAACTTTCCTTTTCAGGTTGCTTCAGCAAAAACAGGTAAAGTTTTCTAAAATACAAGTTTCCCCTCCCCATATATGATTTGAATAATCATTGTGAATTCTTGGGCTACCCTGAAGTATAAAGGCCATACCAGGAAAAGTAGTCGACATTTTCTGGGCACTCACACTATGAGTGGACCTGGTAAGGCAAATACATGGATCAAACATCAAACAAACAAACGAAGATAAGTCTTCCTAAGATGTTCTTATTTAGTACTGAGATGTTTAGGGTTGTGAAGTTATGGATTTTCTCAAACACAGGTATTTATCAGTAAAATGTTACAATGAACATCATTTCAGTCAAAGAAACAAAATTTTAGTCATAAAGAGCAAAGAATCTAATTTATGTAACTTCTTATTTGTCTTCTGAGAAATTAAAGGAGAAAACTAGAAATGTTTTTTATTAAAATTTCAATATTCTCTACTTTAATAAAAAAAGATTTCACACTTCTAATATTGCATCCTTAAAATATAGATAATGATAACTCAGAGCTGAATAAGGGCTTTTTAAAAAAAACTATTTTATTACCATTTTTCTTGAATAAATGACTGAAGGCATGGTTAATTTCCTTTAAAGATCTTTCCTAGCTCATACATTCTAGAAATCTAAGCCCCCAGAATGGAAATTTATATTCAATGAGATTTAGATGATCTGGAGAGACCTTAAAATATCAATTATATCACTAGTAAACTCTCATACCAATTCAACATAAAAACAATTTTAATTTATCATTTTATGTATAGCATAGTAAAGGAAGTATAAATAAGGCAATTTCAAATTTGATATTAGATATATAGCTGAGTCATAAAATGCATACATATACAATAGGGTTTTTTTTTTTAAGTTTTTTTTATTTCTCACCCGAGGATATTTTTCTATTTATTATCAGATAGAGTGGGAGGGAGGGAGAGGGAGAGAGACAGAGAAACATCTATGTGATAGAATCACATCAACCAGCTGCCTCCTGCACAACCCCACCAGGGCTGGGGACAAACCAAAACCAATGTACATGCCCTTAATCGGAATCAAACCCGTGACTCATTGGTCTGCAGGCTGATGCTCTAACCACTTAGCAAACCGGCTACAAGAAGCTACAGGAAGCTACAAGAAGGGCTACAGTGGGTTTTTAAAAATCATTTCATGCTTTATTCTTATTCACTTATTTATTTATGTTTTTTAATTTTTTTAGAGCAAGAGGAAGTGAGAGGGAGAGAGAGAGATGAACATCAATGAGAGAGAAACATTGATGGGCTGCCTCCTGCACACCCCCTACTGGCCATGTGCCCTGATTGGGAATTGAACTGGCAGTCTCTCGGTGCTCGGAACTACGTTCAACCAACTGAGCCACATTGGCCAGGGCTTTATTCACTTATTTTTGAGAAACCTTCAGAATGGATCAGGAAGCTACAAGAAGGACTGTTCAGCCATATGCAGAGCAATTTTTTGTAAGTGGCTTTTGGGTGGACAAAATACAGCTCTGCTGTCTCTTGGAGGTCCCAGGACACATTCATTGAGCCCCAGAACAAGGCTCTTTTTAGTCCCTCACTGTTTGAGAGAAAGAGTGGGGCAGGCTGAGGTACTGATGATGCTGTTCATTGATTCGTCCTGGCTTTTCTATAGATGGAAGCGCTTTGTCGACACTATGTAGGAGGTTTCCATGTGGATGTGTGTATTTTGATTCTCTTCGGGCTTTGGTGTCTGGGCACTGGGACCATGCAGGCTAATTTAGATCTCTGTGTTAGTAGAATGCACAGATGTGGAACATCAAAGGGTCTTACTTTTGACTCATCGGAATGCTTGATGGCACCTCTAGGGAAGAATGTTTTCTTTTTAATCAATGTGCAAGTGGGCCAAACAGAACTAAGAGTGAAGAACTTCTAATGGATGGAACCTTGCCATCCCACTCAAGCCTCTCTTCTCTTTAAAGGAGACAGTAGAGAGGTGTTGATCTTTTATTGCTGTCCCTGTTCAGATCCTACCCTAGAACCAAGTGAAAAACAGGCAATCTATCTCTCGGGCCTGTGACTACCCAGACTTCCCAGAATCTTGACTTCCCTGGCACCCCTCCATGGATGGCAGTGCCATGCAGACTGACTTCTCCAAACCCAAAACTTGCTGGTCCTGGTACACACACACACACACACACACACACACACACACACACACTAGGCCTTCCTACCTTTCAAAGTCCCCTTACATATTCTCTTTCACTTAATCTTGCCAACAGTCTGAGATGTAGGTATTTTACATTTCACTGTAAATGTTATGTTTTTGGTGTTTTTTTGTTTTTTTATTCTCACCTGAGGATATTTTTGCATTTATCTTCAGATAGAGTGGGAGGGAGAGAGGGAGGAAGAGAGAGAGAGAAACATCAACGTGAGAGAGACACATTGACTGGTTGCCACCCACACGACCCCAACAGGGGTCGGGGACAAACTGCAACCGAGGTACGTGCCCTTAGCGGGAACCAAACCCGGGTCTCTGGTCCGCAGTCCGACACTCTAGCTGCTGAGCCAAACCGGCCAGGGCTCAATGTAAATTTTAATATGTAGTTATTATTAATGTTCTACATTCTCCAGGGAGAAAACTGAGACTAGAAGAGGTTAAATGATTTGTACATGTTCACAAGCAAAATTAAATGGCTCAAACCCAGAGTTTCTGAACCCAAACCCTTTGCTATTCTCTACCCCCGACCCTGAGTTTCAGGCAGGGGAAACCAGCTTTATCCATTACTCCTTCTGGGCAAATGTACCTCTCCCAGCTCTTCCAAGCCCTTGGCAGGCCTGTAGGGAATTCCTCTGTGACCTGCTAGTCTTTTATATTCCTTTCCAACCACTCCTTGAATGCACTCTCAGGCCTCCTGTGTCAATGGCTAATTCGGTTGCCATTTTGCCAGGAAGTTATTCCATCCCCATGAACAAGACTGGCTGACATAGAAGATAAACTATGTAAACTATGGGGACAAAGGAAACAGAAGGAGCTGAGAGACACCACAAACTTAGAGGAAAGTAACTTGGGGACAAAGTTACTTTCCTCTAAGACAAATAACTTAGGGAGCAGGAGAGGGATTCATGTGTGGGAGGGATGAAAGGGGGAGCCCCTGCTGGGGGAAGAGGGGACATCGCACTTCCTGTAGAGTCAGCTTCTGCTGGCAAATGGCTGAGATGGGCAGACCTGCAACTCCCCCCCACCCCCAGCCTATAGAACCAGCATCATTCTCTTCTGATGGCAAAAGAGACAGTCCTGGGTGATGTTCAAGGAATGTCTGGCCAGCGCACAGTGGAGACTTTGTCATTTCTGAGACACTGCCAAAGCCAACTCTCTGGGCCATTGGGGCAGAAAGAGAGGGTCTGTATCGTGCACATAGGGATGAGGTGGGGGAGGGAGGCGATACCGGCAAGTCCCACATTTGGTCTGTGTTTACTCTTCCTCCTCTTGGCCCTATAGTTATGTTTCGCCCTTTAGTTTTGAGTTTGGCCTAGCAAATGGTCTACGTTACACACAAAGGCCAGGTGCCAATTTAAAACCTGAAACCCTGCTCTTTTTGTTTGACTTTTTCTTTCACTTGGATTTCCATCTGGGGCATTTTTGTGTCTGTTTTTGCAAAGTAGCAAATCTGATTACCACGCTGTGTCTCCCATCCCACACTGAAAGTCCAGGAATGCTTTGTATGAGCTTGTGACATAAACATTCATATCTCCCTGGCAAACCATGGCCAGGCCCAGGTGAGGAGGGACCAAAGCAGCCCGTTTTGATAGAGAAAGAGTAAATAAAGTTGATTTTTATTTTGTATGGAACAATCTGAAAATGTTTTCATGCTAATAATAATATGAAAGAAAGTACAATGGCATAATTGTAAAACAACACTCAATTCTCCCTGCTTCCTCCATTAGATTAAATGCATGAATGGAGATTCAGCCATGGCAGAGGTTGGGATGGAAGTGGGATGTCTCTGGATGCGATGGAGCAGAGTCATGGGGCAGGGAGTGGAGGCAGTGTTAAAACAGGATGGGAACCAGGCCAGTGTGGCTCAGTGGTTGAGCATCTACCCATGCACCAAGAGGTCGCCAGTTCGATTCCCAGTCAGGGCATATGCCCAGGTTATGGGCCAGATCCCCAGTGGGGGCCATGCAGGAGGCGGCCAGTCGATGTTCTCTTTCATCAATGTTTCTATCTCTCCCTCTCCCTTACTCTCTCTCTAAAATCAATAAAGAAAAAATTTAAAAACAAAACGAAACAAAAAAAAAAACAGTGGGAAATTCCCAGGGTGCCACACTAGAGTAGAATCTTCTGGAATGAAGCCCTTCAGAGACCCTCTCTCCTTTCAGAGATCTTTTCCCACAATCACTCCCCAGTCGTATTTGACTCTTAAAAATACAAAAAGTGCAAATTATGCCCGGCCAGTATGGCTCAGTGGTTGAGCATTTACCCATGCACCAAAAGGTCACCAGTTCGATTTTTAGTCAGGGCACATGCCCAGGTGGTGGGCCAAATCCCCAGTGGGGGGCATGCAGGAGGCAGCCAATCAGTGTTGTCTCTCATCTATGTTTCCAGCTCTCTCTTCCTTTCCCACCCTCTCTCTAACATCAATAAAGAAAAAAATTTTCAAAAAGTGCAGATTATCCTAGAAGCAAAGTGGGAAAAACCTCTTTGAAATCCTATTCCTGGACGAAAGGTTTTAGCTTTCTGGCTTTCTCCTGGAAAGTAGCTTTGCCTTTCTTTTTCTGTGTTTCTTCCTTTAAAATTTTTAAAAAATATATATTAAAAAATATATATATATACATATTATTGATTTTTTAGAGAGAGAGGGAGGGAGAAAGAGATAGAAACATCCATGTGAGAGAGACACATGGATGGGCTGTGTCCCGAACACCCCCTACTGGGGATCGAGCCCCAAACCTGGGCATGTGCCCTGACAGGGAATCCAACTGGGACCTCTCAGTCCATGGGACAATGCTCAGTCCACTGAGCCACACCAACCAGGCTCTTTTTTTTTTTTTAATCTGGAAAGTAAGGGCACAGTCTATGTCTGAAAGATGGCGCAAAAATGTAGTTTGCAAAGTAAAATGATGAAGGAAGTGATTCTTCTAGGTGTTCTAGCTAATGTACAACTTCCAAATCTCTTTCAGCTCCTGAAATACCCACTATTGATCAGGCATACTCAAAAATCAGCAACAGTATCACTGTAGAATGGGCTACAGTGCCAGGGGCCACCAGTTATCTGCTCACAGCCAAAGATGGGGACACCATCATTGAAACCATAGTGGCCAATTCCCCAGGCACTGTGACAGGCCTGAAGGCTGCCACCTTGTACCAAATCACCGTCAGATCCATCAGTGCTGCTGGGAGAAGCCAGGCCTCACCTCCAAAGCAGGCAAACACAGGTAGCTGGATGCCGATTCTCGTCGAGCCATTGCTTGTGACCTGGATCAGTTATACTGAGGCTGCAATCACATGATGTAGTTTTGTGTCACATGAGTGCCTATGATTCAAGGCCCAGAAGTAAAAGTCACCAAATGATGTATTTTGGGAATTTGGTTATCTGTGGAGAAGGTGGTATTATTATTATTATTATTATTACTATTATTGTTTTCTTGTTGTTAATCCTCACCTGAGGATATTTTTTTATTGGTTTTAGATAATGTGGAAGGGAGGAAGGGAGAGAGAGAGAGAGAGAAAGAAACATTGATGTAAGAGAGACACATGGATTGGCTGCCTCCCACACGGCCCTGATCAAGGCTGGGGATTGAACCCACTACCCAGGTATATGCCCTTCACTGAGAATCAAACTCAAGACCCTTTGGTCCAAGAGTTGATGCTCTACTGGCTGAGCCAAACTGGCTAGAATGAGAAGGTAGTATTTATTTATCTATTTTATTTTATTTATTTTTTATCCTCACCCGAGGACATTTTTCCATTTTTTGTTCACATAGAGTGGGAGGGGGAGAGAGAGAGAAACATCGATGTGAAAGGGACACATCGAGTGGCTGCCACCCGCACGATCCAACCAGGACCGGGGACAAACTGCAACCGAGGTAGGTGCCCTTAGCGGGAACCAAACCCAATCTCTCCGTACCGCAGGCCAGCGCTCTAACCGCTGAGCCAAACCGGCCAGGGCGAGAAGGTGGTATTTAAATTCTAGATGCTTTGCTTTGGAAAATAACCATTCCTGCTTATAAATCTCTGAGAAAGGTATTTAACCTTGGTTATCCATCAAGACTATGCTGAATAAAGAACACAGAAGTGATTTTGCTGCACTTTGACTTGTTTAGAATAAAAATATTTGAAGTTTGTCATCAGCATAACTTAAATGGATTTGATAAGTTGTACCTAGGCATATTTCTGAAAGGTTGTCTGCATAATAAAATAGTATAAACCATCATTTCCTCCACTGACTTATATTATGATTACAGGGATGTTTTATCTTATTTCTTAACATTCTCCAGTTTAAAGTAATGCCTAATATTAGAATTTCTCTGTTCCCCCATTCTTATGATGAACTATTTATAATTAATACACATTTAAATAGCAATTCTTATGGGGGGTTTTTTTGTTGTTTTTTTTCTGTTTTCTTTTTATCCTCACCGAGGACATTTTTGCATTTATCTTTAGAGGGAAGAAGAGAGAGAAAGAAACATCAACGTGAGAGAGGCACATCAAGTGGTTGCCACCCACACGACCACAACCGGGGCTGAGGACAAACTGCAACCGAGGTACGTGCCCTTAGCAGAAACCGAACCCGGACTCTCTGGTCCGCGGGCCGACACTCTAACCGCTGAACCAAACCGGCCAGGGCTGTTTTTGTTTTGTTTTGTTTTATTGATTTTTAGAGAGAGAGGAAGGGAGAGAGAGATAGAAACATTGATGAAAGAGAACATCTATTGGCCGCCTCTTACATGCCCCCAACTGGGGATTGGGCCCACAACCTGGGCATGTGCCCTGACCAGGAATCAAACTGGTGACCCCTTGGTGCATGGGTCGACACTCAACCACTGAGCACACCGGTGGGCCTTATGGTTTTTTTAAACAGCAATTCTTCATGAAACTCTGTCATGAATCCTTTTGCAAAGCAAATCATTATTTCATAACATGGATAATTAACCTCAGAATACCTATTTCTAAATACAAATTCGCCTCTACCAAACATTTGTAATGCAACCACTTGTGTTTTTGTCATTGTAGTGTTGGCTGCACCAATTCTAGAAGTAAGTTCTCCAAGTTCAGACTCTATTCTTGTGCGGTGGGAAGCTGTATACATGGCCACTGGGTTCTCTGTGTCCATTATGCGAGCCAATGGTTTGGGGAGAATATGGAAGGAGAATACCACAAACACCACCTTGACATTCACCAGTTTAGACGCTGGGACTCTCTACACCATAAAGGCCTATGCATGGAATGCCAATGGAACCCCTGGGGATGACTCCACCTGCAACCAGAGAACAAGTAAGACTTCTCAGCTCAGCCCCCAAATTTCCTTTCTGTTAGTGAGAGGAACTGTGCATGGCAGCCATCAAGAGTAGTGTTAAGTGAGGAGTACAGAGCAGCTGGCAGCAGCTATTGAAATGTATGCTGAGTTTATTTATAGTACGGTGACTGTTTCCCCTTGGTAGTTTAAATGCATACTGGGTGAATAAAGAAATGCTGATTTCACAGCAGATGTAACTAGTTACGATGACATTAGAGTGGGCCCTAATCCAGTATGACTCATGTCCTTATAAAAAGAGGGAAATTTGGACATAGACATACACATACAGGGGGAACACCATATAAACACCAGGTCCACCATTTACAAGCCAAACCAAGGAGAAAGGCCAGGAACAAGTCCTTTCTCGCAGCCCTCAGCAGGCAGGAACCAACCTTGCCAACACCTTGATTTCAGGCTTCTAGCCTCCAGGACTGTGAGCCCATACATTTCTGTTATTTAAGCCACCTATATGTGGTACTTGGTTTCAGCAGCCCCAGCAAAGTCAGGCTAAATCCAAAGTCTCTGAAACTTGAAACACGGGGAAACACTCGAAGAGAAGGGCTTTAGGGAACCAGTCACCTCTAGGACATGGTTCTCCTTGCTCCCCAGCCTGGTGTGGACGCTCCTGCCGCGCTCTGCCTGCGCGTCTCTACCCAAGCACCTGGTAGGCCAAATCTTACTTGGGTTCTTGAGGCTACTGCAAAATCTTGTTTCTCAAAAATGTAGGCCCTCGTGCTCCTGCCGACATCCAAGTCTCTTTTGATAGCGGGGCTCTGAAGGCGGCTGTTTCATGGGCCCCGACAGAAGGCGCTTTCAACTACACCGCGACGGCGTGGAGCGACTCTTCGGAGCTGAGCTGCAGCACGACCTCGCGCGCCTGCGCCCTCTCCGCGCTCCGGTGCGGGACGGAGTACCTGATTGCCGTCGCGGCCAGGAACGACGCCGGCTCCAGCACATCCGCCCCTGCCCTGACCCTGGCCACCGGTATGTAACCAGATCCAGGTCGCCGTGGGGCTGGCGCGCCAGCGTGCCTGCCCTGCAGAAACAGGTGAAGCGAAAACGCAAGCCTGGTCTAAATGAAAGCCGGAGTCGGACGTGCCGATGTGTTTGAGTGATGCGGATGGTGAAACCAGACACTGTGCGTCAGAAAAAGCACTTCCTTGAAAATTAGGAGGCCTGGATCCTATTGCAGATTCTTCCTCGCCTAGTTTTTTTTTTTTTTTTTTCCATTTGAAAGGTTGTAAAAATTCTGAGACCCTGTTTGAGTGACGCACAGTTCGAACTGTGCAGTATAGATAGCGGCCTCTCTTCTTTCATCGTGTTGCACAGACCTAGGCTTGTGGGAGCTATTGTCTAGATAAAGATGGGCTGGCTGCCTGTAGTTCTGAATATGTCTTTAGCTATCTTCCCATTTTCATTCTTTTTTTTTTTTTTTTTTTGAGACGACACTTATTAAAGCTGGGGACAGTGACACAAGGAAGGACCTAGGATAGGAGAGCAACAGGAGAGACTAGGTGGGGAAATGAGCCCTGGCTGGGCAGCTTTGGCTCACTAAGAAGTCAGAGCAAGGGAGGCCTTGGGGCTGGGCCAGCGGATTGCCCAGGATGAGTGTCCATTGCTTTCCTGCTTGCAAGTTGGTGGGGTCCCTTAGAGTTTAGGAGATGCTGCCTGTGAAGGAAGAAGCGGGGCAAGGGAAAGGCACAAGTATACTCCTGGGAGGGAGAGTGTCCCATTTTCACTCTTTTTTTTAAATTCTCACTCGAGGACATTTTTCCATTTTTTGTTCAGATAGAGTGGGAGGGAAGGAGGGAGAGAGGGAGAGAGAGGGAGAGACAGAGAGAGAGAGAGAGAGAGAGAGACTGACGCGAAAGGGACACATCGAGTGGCTGCCTCCCACACCACCCAACCAGAGCTGGGGAGAAACTGCAACCCAGGTACATGTCCTTAGTGAGAACCGAACCTGGGTCTCTCTGGTCTGCAGGCCAACGCTCTAACCACTGAGCAAAACTGGCCAAGGCCCATTTTCATTCTAATCAAAGACATAAAGACATACAGATGTGGAAGTTTACTCCTCTACTTAGAAATATATACGTGTTGCCCAGCTGGTGTGGCTCAATGGTCAAGCACCAATCCATGCACCAAGAGGTCTCTAACTCCATTCCTGGTCAGGGGACATGCCCAGGTCGTGGGCCAAATCTCCAGTGGGGGGAATGCAGGAAGCAGCCAGTCGATGTTCTTTCTCATCGATGTTTCTATCTCTCCCTCTCCTGTCTTCTCTCTCTAAAATCCATAACAAAAGAAAAAAAAAAAAAAAAGAAGCCTGGCCAGTGTGGCTCAGTGGTTGGGTGTCAACCCATGCATCAAGAAGTCGCAGTTCGATTCCCAGTCAGGGCACATGTCTGGATTGTGGGCCTGATCCCCAGTGTGGAGCATGTGGGAGGTGGCCAGTTGATGTTCTCTCTCATCGATGTTTCTCTCTCTCTCTCCCTCTCCCTTCCTCTCTCTCTCTCAAAATCAATAAAGAAAAAACAATTAAAAAAAAAAAAAGAAATAGATACTTGTCTAGGGAATGGGAACTAACATTTATTGAAGACCTACTATGTCCCGGGCATTATAAATACATCATTTTATTTAATTCTCATGACCACTCAATGAGGTAAATCCTATTATCTCCATTTTTAGAAAACTGAAGCTCAGAGAAGTTAAATAATTTTTCCAGGAGCCCAATGACATTCAGACAGTTCCTGCACTTTCTGAAATTCAAGCCCAAGTTTGTCTGATTTCATTTCTTTAAGCCAAAGTAGATGTAGATAACTACAGTAATGTCCACTTTACCTAAAATGAACAATTACGTCATTCTAAATTGAAAAGGCTTCTGAGCAGGAGGAAAAGAGCCATCACCAAGCTTCCACACACTATGTCACAGGAAGAAAGCATAGCCAAGCCTTCAGATCATAAACGAATCAAATTATAACTTAGTTATGTTAAATAAAATCATAATCATGTTAAAGTTGTGATAAAACTTGGTGACTTGGCTTCTCTTTTAACAACTCTAATTTAATGTGGACGGTACATTGGAAATGACTATGAGGACGGATAGCTGAGGCTGAGGGAAAAGATAAGAAATACACTTTCACTTTTCTTTTCGGCTAGAACTGCCACCTTCCAGTCATTTGCCACAATGACTAACAAAGGGAAAGGGAAGAGGCACCTGCTATGTCCTCTCTAGGCCTTTTAGAAAACATGGAGTTGTTCCTTTGGTTACATACATGTGAATCTATGTGAAAGGTGATATTATAGACATCGAGGGAATGGGCACTGTTCAAAAAGAAATGCCCCACAACGTCACCATGGCAAAACTGGAAGAGTCTGCACTGTCACCCAGCATGTGGTGGGCATTGTTGTAAACAAGCAAGTTAAGGGCAAGATTCTTGCCAAGAGAATTAACATACATGTTGAGCATATTAAGCGCCCTGAGAGCCAAAGAGAAAGGTACCTGGGTGCCACTGAAGCGCCAGCCTGCTCTGCCCAGGGAAGCACATTGGTGAGAACCAATGGCAAGGAGCCAGAGCGGCTGGAACGCACTCCCTGTGAATTCATGCCATGATAAGTGTAAAAAAAAAAAGACCTCTGTACTGATAAAAATGGTTCTCTTAAGTAGAGGTGTGGTGCCCCCTCCCTCCCCAAAATATTTAAATAAAACTTTGGTCCTAAAAAAAAAAGAGAGAAAGAAATACACTTTCAAAAGCCCAGCAGTTCTGAGCTTGTTGTCTAATGCAAGGGAGAACCATGCAGTGTTTTTCAATCTTGGAAGCACAGTAAGAGCATCCAGAGAGCTTTTTATAAAATCCTAATTATCTAGGCCGCACTGAAGACCAGTGACATCGAGCTGCTGGGAGTGGAGACTGGATATGAGTAGTTTGTAAAAGCTCCCCAGTCGATTCTAACATGCAGTCAGGGTAAAGTGCTATGGAAATAGTCCTGCACACTCAGCAGTCTGGGAGACACCACTGTAGTCTGTTACAACACCGTCAGTCACAATCATGGGAGCAACCTTGACTTATCAATAAAAGGACTGTTTAGAAAGTTCTGTGTGTTTTCTGGGGCCAAGAACTGTGGAGTATATTTTAGGAAGATTTCCACCAGAGATGACTAAATTTTGAAAAGCTTAGAGCTTGGAAGAGTAGACTTCAGTTGAATTCATTCCTTCAGAAGACTTCATTCTGTGCTGATCCTGGCATTGACTTAATGCAGAAACAATATTAAGGCAATGTTAACCAATCCATGCCTGTTTCTGACACAGTCGGTGTAGCATGTACTGTGCGAGATAAGTTTTAGGACAGGTGAGAATGGCTCACTGGTTTGCACATGCTGTTTGATGTTTTCCTCGTCCACAGTGTCTGGTATCCTGGACAATTTTAAAGGTGCAAAGAACATCTCTCACAACTGTTTATTATTCATCATTTCCTAGTTGCTTGTGCACCTGGAAGAGTGACAATCCAAGAAGATCCCCCTGGCCACCTGTCTGTGTCTTGGTCCAATGTAGACCTGGGTGATTACTATGTGGCCTTTGTGAAGAGTGATGATGGCTTGGAAGTTCACTGCAACACTTCCCTCACCCAGTGCAACTTCCTATCTGAATGTGGCTTTACTTACTTTATCAGTGTTTTTGCCTATAACAAGGCTGGGCAGAGTCCTTTAGGTGATGTGTTCAATTACACCACAGGTAAGTCGCATTTTATGCTTCTAAAGGGAGTTCTGAGTTCACTACACTTAGCAATAGAATGGATCACTTATTACATAGACCCCCTGAGGGTCACTCTAGGGCCAAGAATAGAAAGTGAATATCTTCTTTCACCTTTTTCCAGACTAGGAAATGTTGGCTTCATGAATCTAAGTTTAACAAGAATGCAAGGTTTTGGCCTGGCTGGTGTGGCTCAGTGGTTGAGCATAGACCCATGCACCAATAGGTCAACAGTTCAATTCCTGGTCAGGGCACATGCCCAGGTTGTGGGCCAAATCCCCAGTCAGGGGCATGCAGGAGGTAGCCAACCGATGTTCTCTCTCACCTATGTTTCTCTCTCTCTCTCTCCCTCTTCCTTCTTCTTTCTCTAAAATCAATAAAGGGAAAAAAGGGGGCAAGGTTTTGGAGTAGAAAGAGGGGAAAGAATATAGTTGTTCAAACCCCGCTCTGAAAAATTGAACCCTCCACTGAGGTCTACTTGGTATTCAGCCTTGTGTGAGATGTTGAAGGAGATGCAGTTCCTTCCTTCCTCCATACCAGTGAACATATGCAAACATGCTATGTAGTGTGGAGGCCTCTGCAGAAGGACACCTGGGTCGAAGTCCCAACTTGACCACAAACTTATTTATAAAATGGGGACAATCTACCTTGATAATTCTTTAGTATCCTCTGCTGCAAAATGGGACAAATGATAAATAATGAGAAGATGAACATGAAAAGGTCTTTGTATGTGATAAGGCACAATGCAAATATTTTTATTAGCATCATTATTACTGTTGCTGTTATTAATCTCCTCCACTAGGCTTGCATCTTCTCTGGGGCAGGGATCGTGTTTTTTGTTTTTCTTAATTTTTTTTTTCTTTATTGGTTTTAGAGAGAGAGGAAGGGAGAGGAAGAGAGAGATAGAAACATCCATGAGAGAGAACATCGATTGGCTGCCTCCTGCATGCCCCCCACTGGGGATCTGGCCCCCAACCTGGGCATGTGCCCTGATTGGGAATTGAACTGGTGACCTCTTGGTGCATAGGTCGATGGTCAACCACTGAGACGCACTGGCCAGGCGGGGATCGTGTTTTATTTATCTCATCGTCCTCAGTGCTTATCATAGTGTCACTGGCATATGGGAGATGCTTGATTTTTGAAGAATGAATGGAGTGACTTAAAATTATTCAACTATATTTACAGATTATAATACTATAATGTAACTATGTAAAAAATACTAGCTGGATTATAATATACTTTTACCAGGATGAAGGAATCAAATAATTGGTGCCTTTGGAATTAGGAGTAAGAGGCTCCCAGGTCTCAGGAGCACAGGAAGGGTCTTCCAGAGGGAGTGACCTTGAACTGCATCTTTAAGGATTGGTGGGATGTATGTGGGTCAAGAGCCTCCCAGAGACACTCCAAGCTGCTTAGACATTTGTCAGAATTTGGCTGTGAGGTCATGTAGGGTCTCTTCTAAAATCTACTAATATAATGACGCTGCCTGTCCTCCTCTGCCCCCCAGTTTTCTCTGGTTTAGTGTCGGGAAAGACTGATAGGATCTAGAAGTTAGATGAAATATGGTTTTGTCGGGTGGAAGAGGGGAGCAGTATCCCAGCAGAGGGCTCAGCAGTCTTTGAGACACAAGCAAATGAAAGCACAAGTGCGGTGGGGAGTTGAGGAGCCTGGCATGACAGGGGACCCAGGGAGATGCAGATGGGGTACAGCTTATAATGAACTTGAATATCATGCTTAGAGGATTTATCTTCTATGTAGTGGATGTTAGGCCAAGTACAAAGCTGGACAGACCTGTTTGAGAGTCTTGCAATAATTTAGGAGAGCAATTCAGATTCCGTACACGGGAACGTCATTGTCCTCCTCAGATAGCATTACTCCTGGACTGACCCCCATCCTCTCTCTGTTCCTGCTTCCAGCTCCTTGTTGTCCTAGTGACATTAACCCTGTGCTGGTGTCCAGTGACAGAGTAGAGATCGTCTGGTCTCCTGTCCGGGGTGCCGAACTTTATGAGACCAAAGCTGTGGATGGGTTCAACGTGGTTGAGTGCAATGACACTGCTCCTGCTTGTACCCTCTCAGCTCTGGAGTGCGACACCAAGTACAACATCACAGTGTATTCCTTCAGCGAAGTCCGGGGCAGCAATACGTCCTGTGCTTCCCGATTCGTAACCACGGGTACGATACCGCAACGATTTCATTCACTGAGGTCTGCACAGCCCACCCCACCTCTTTGTGCGGACCATTCGAGTCCATCTTACTAAAGGGAGGCAGAAGAGAAGATGGAAGAGGGAAATTGGGAAAAAAGAAAACAAAAGAGGAGACCATGGGGATGGTGGAAGGTTTTGCCTGTCAGCCATTCACTTTCTCTACCTTTGAGGGCCCTGCCTGTATTCACACCATGAAGGTTAAGACCACAAATGTTTGTCTTAACTAGTTTTTCTTTTGGAGTCCAAAACACTCCTTAGCATTTTCCTGCTGGTCTGACACTGTAGGAACCAAAATCATATGTCAATGGCAGCAAGGTTACCACACAAAGACTATGAATTTGGCCTTCACTCCTGGGATGCTTGAAAGTGATACTGAACTTATCTGGGGGGAGAAAATCGGTTTTAGAGCAAATGGCACAGGTGATATTTTTAACTCTCACTGTTTCTATTAATCTAAACTCTCTTAGCTCCTTGCAGTCCTGAGATAAAAAGTGTCTCAAAGGACGCTTTCTCCGTGATTCACGTGCACTGGAGATCCAGTAACGATGGCGCTACCTACACGGTGACGGCCCGGGGAGAGGAAGGGCTGTATCGGTGCAGCAGCATGGGGCAGTCCTGTACCCTGGGGGGCCTGCCCTGCGGCTCCCTGTTCTCCGTCACCGCGGTGGCCGAGACACAAGCAGGACAGAGCCTGCCCAGCTACAGTGTGCCCCTGGAAACAGGTATGCAGCAGCCACCACGGAACATTGACTTCAGTGGGGGTCCTGGCATGAACTTTTTCACTTTATCTACCCTAAGTGTGATAGAAATACATCAAACTCAGAGGCCTTTCAAAGAGCCCCAGTCTTGCCCTGGCTGGGTACTCAATTGGTTAGAGTCATCCCAATATGCCAAGGTTTCGGGTTTGATCCCAGGTCAGGGCACACACAGGAGTCAACCAATGAATGCATAAAGAAGTGGAACAACAAATCAATTTTTCTTTCTCTTTCTTCTCTCTCTCTAATAACAACCTTTGAAAAAAGTAGCTTCAGTCTTAGAAAATAAAGCTTTCACCATCTGAACACAGGCGCTGTAAACATATCATCAGAAGACTAATATATTCATATACTGACATCAAAAGGCTGACTCTGCAAGAACATTTATTTGAATTCATGTTCCCCCGTCACAATCTACTGGAACAAGTAACAAGTGGCCGAGCGAGCTGGTTTACTGTTTCCATCTTTGGCTCAGCCCTGTCGAGACTTTCTCCAAACAGCGCTTTCGCTTTCTGAGTTTCCATTTCCTAACTGATAACGGTGGGTGATGGCTTCACTGAGTGGTTGTGACTATTAATTAATCAATTCTGCAAAGCTCTCCACATAGTACCTGCTGCATAGTAAGAGCTGGATGAAAAAAAGCTGTTACTGCTTCTTAGTATTGTGTGTGAATGAAATTTAGCAAATTACTTAAAGCCTTTGGACATTATTTTCTCTTATATACAATGACAGATGGCACTTTGGACTATAAAATCTGAAACATAAAAAGCCATAGAATAGAGCCTGGCCAGTGTGGCTCAGTGGTTGAGCATCTATCCATGCACCAAGAGGTCGCCAGTTCAATTCCCAGTCAGGGCACATGCCCAGTTTGTGGGCCCGATCCCCAGTGAGGGGCCTGCAGGAGGTGGCCAATCGATGTTCTCTCTCACCACTGCTTCTCTCTCACTCTCCCTCCCTTTCTCTCTCTAAAATCAATAAAGAAAAAAATAAATAAAAAATAAAACTTCATTTAAAAAAAAAAAGCCACAGAATAGAGACAACTTCAAATACATAAGAAGATTCTATTCTATTCTCTATAAGGGGTCCCTAAAAAATTGAGACTTGGCTGTGGTGTTCTTAGGTGGCTAGGAATATTTCAAGCTTTTATGTCAATTATATACTATGAAATGCATGAGAAACGCAAAATACATTCAATTACAAATGCTGCAAATTTTTATATTGGGAGAAGGTGCGTGCAACTGCTGCTTTGAAATTTGCACCTAGAACTGTTAAAGTTGGGAGACAACAAAGGGTTTCCTTATTCTGAAAAACATGGAGAGAACCTCATTACCCACAGCCAGTTAGAGCATTGTGTTCTTGGGGAAGGCACCCACTATATTTTCTGTTATGTTAAATGCTACATCAGAGGAAATGAGATTTTGCTTAACAAAAGGAAATTTTCATCAACAATGCAGGGTTTGAGAAATTTAGGCTATTGAATGAAACAAAGGCAAAATATCATTCTTGGTCATTTTTCACAAATAACCCTCTGTGGATATAAATCCCTAATTCTTTCTCTTTTTCCTCATTTAAGTGCCATGCTGTCCAGCCACTCTGACAGTAACTCAGGTCACCCAATCAGTCATCAACGTGAGCTGGACTGTTGGGACTGGGGCCCTAACCTACGTGACAGTTCTGGAGGCACACACTGGACAGTCTAAGTGTCACACTCATCAAAACCACTGCCTCCTGGGATGCATCACATGTGGCGTCAATTACACAGTGGCCTTAAAAGCAATTAGTGCCAGCGGGTTGACTGCAGACTGCGCCTACCAACGCTACGCCTCTAGTAAGTGAAGTCTCAACTCTAGCTCTTCAGTGTCGATAAGGACCTTGACTATCCATCCTAAATCCAGGCATAAGCCCTTTCTTCTCATTTAAAAGGATGCTGTATCTCCACCTACCTTGCATTATAAATTCAGATGATCTTCTAAAATGTTGAGTTTTCCTCTTGACCTAGAACCTCAAAGCTTCAGAGGCTTCTGTTGGTAGTGGCAAATTAACTCCCTGGGGAACAGGGTTCCAGTACACCTTTTCTAAAGGGAGGACAGTTTTCTATATGACTCAGCCACCCTCAGCACAGAGTAAGTCAGCCTGGCAGAATTTCCAGAAAGCATTTAGAGCAGACTGGGCTTGAGTTTTTTCTTCTTGTTCGCATTATGCTACTACCTCTCTCCTAAAATGCTCCAGCTCCTTCTATGGTTTCTTATTTCTTTTCTCTTTTTTTTGGTATGTGCCTCCAGCAGGAACTGAACCCGGGTCTCTCTGGTCTGCAGGCCGACGCTCCAACCCCTGAGCCAAACCGACCAGGGCTTTCTTTTCTTTTCTTGGTTTCTTATTTCCACAAGCTAAAAGAGCACTGTCTACTGACAGTGTTGTATCTCATTCTTCACAAAGACTGTATCATCAGGGAATAACAGGGAAGGGAGAAGGGGTACAGGGTCAGCAAATGGGATTTCTCTTGTGTGAATCTAGTCCACTGAAGAGGCTGCTTGGAGCACTGTTTTGAAGAAAAAAAATGAGAATGCCTGTCAGGCTAAATGGGAAAGAGTTCAGTGATAGTTATGTTTGTTGTGGGACATGAGATGGGAGAGTGGAAATATAATTTTGCCATCCCAGGGGTAGTAGAAAGAGTTTACAACTAGCAATCTAAAGACATGGCTCCATATAAGCTATGCTGCCTTATCTTCCCTGGTTCTGTTTCTTCATTGGGAAGAGAAATAGAAATAATCATAATGTGAAAGCATTAACAGAGTGCTACTAATATGTGAGCTGGTTTATACCATCTTCTGGCCCATTATCTTTTACTAGATTTGCCTCCTAAGTTCTTACCCTGATATCCAGTTTTGGGAATATGGCCCTTTGCTTAGCTTCACACACACACACACACACACACACACACACACACCCTCAGTTTTTTTTTTTAAAGAATAAATCCAGTGGGCCTTGGCCGGTTTGGCTCAGCAGTTAGAGTGTCAGCCCATGGACCAAAGAGTTGCCAGTTAGATTCTGGTCAAGGGCACGTATCTCAGTTGCAGTTTGGACCCCAGCCCTGGCCCTAGTCGGGGTCATGTGGGAGGAAATCAATTGATGTGTCTCTCTCACATTGGTGTGTGTGTGTGTGTGTGTGTGTCTGTCTCTCTCTCTCTTCCTCTTTCTCTCTCTCTCCCTCTCTCCTTCTCCCTCCCTCCCTCCCTCTCTCCCTTCCCCTCTCCCACCCTATCTAAAGATAAATGGAAAAATATCTTTGGGGAGGATTAAAAAAAAGAAGAAGAAATCCAATGGGCCTGATTATCTATAACTGAATTTTTTATTATCATTATACAAAAACATCTTTATCTTAGTTACCGAGGAATCCATGATTTGGTGCTCTGCTCATAGCTAGTCAGCTAGCATGGATGAAGTATGACCAGCACAGCTCGGTCACCTGCCTATTGTGTAAGTGACTGCTCCCCTGGTGTCATGCTGCTCAGCTCGGCACAGCAGGTCTTTTCAGTGAAAGCCAAAGGCAGTTAATTTTATTTAAAAACCCAATTCCACTAAAATCATATGAAAACTCGGGCATTATGAGGGCTATTGACAAGGATTCTGTACATTTGACTCATAAGGTTTGAGTCATGTACAACATGTGTCTGCCAAGTGTGGATTTTTTTGACTCACCACTGTTCTCTATTAGAAATCCATGCCCCCACACACATGGATTCCTTTTTCTTTCTTTTCTCTTTTTTAAAAGTCTAGTGCATTTACTTAACTGTTTTTACACATGGATTTCTAATTACGCGGCTCACCATGGAAAGAACTGAGTGCCTCTTCAAATCTTGCTCTCATCATGTATTATTTAGAATTAGTTACTTATATTGTTTCCCCATGGTAATAAAGACCATGTTTGTGTGATGGGGGAATAAGCAATTTTGTTTGTTTATTTTTTATCCTTCAGGTGCCTGCTGCCCATTGGGAGTGAAACTGTATAGGCTGGGTCCTAATGGCATCCGGATCGACTGGCAAGCTGCCAGGGGCTCTGCCAACTACAGTACTGACCTCTATGGCTCCAAAGGCATTTTCACATGTTCCCCAAGTGCCGGCCTCAGTTTCTGTGACATCACTGAGATACCCTGCGGGGACGTCTATACCGTGATGGTCTCACCAGTGGCTGAGACAGGACTGAAGCTCACTTTCTGCCCCAAAAAAATATATTCAGGTAGAGCAAGTTATAACCCTTTATTTAAAACTAACTGTCACCCAGTATGTGAGTGAAGACTCAGAGCACTCCCACTTACCTGTGGGAAGGAACGTCAAAGAGGGTGTGACATTTCTATATTCTGCAGGCAGATTCTGGCTGCTGGGGACCCCACCTTCTTTGGAGTCATGATGCTTTATTATTATTTGATTTGGAAACATTCTATTTTCTTCTCCCTCTCTTCTTCAGGAAATGGATCAAATGCTTACTGCTTAGATAGTGAAGCTGATCTAAAATGATTTTCTGCTCTGAGATCTGGTGACAGATTTTTAACATAGTCTTAGAGATCATGATAGACACCCTGGAATGTTAGAAATTAAGATACTTGAACTTTTATGTGCACAGATTCAGACTTGTGACTGAGGAAGTGTTGGGGGGTCAGAAAACAATGAACTTATAAATCATAAGCTGGGTTTGGCAATATGTGATCAAAACCCATGGCTGTCGCAAGTGTCACCTCACCAGAGCTGGCAGAAAAGCATGAGCAATTCTCCTGCTCTGTATTCCAGCACCTGTCTTCTGCCACCTTGCCCAGGGCATAGTCATATATTTTTCATACACATCTAAAGAAAAAAGAAAAAGAAAGGGGATGCTGAAGCCTTTGAACACAGGACACAGGAAGAGGAATAAATATTGTCTCAGAAATCTTTACTGATATCCAGAATCTGAAATTTCCAATGACATGTGAGTTACAAGAAGGTTTAAGAGAGCTCCTGATGATGGAACCAGGCCCGCTCCTCTTCAGGGGGTGCACTCACTGCCATTGGCTGTCATGCTCTGATTCCTTATTTTTTCATTATCTTGTCCACAGGACAAGCTGGCCCAAAGCATGGCCCTCTGGGAAGGGACAGGAATAGGTTGTTAGGGTGGGGATGAGCTCTTAGGAAGAGGAGCCTTCAGCTCATAACATATCTGCATAATGTTTTACAATTTGTCAAGTGTTTTCACATTCAATATCTCACTGAATACTCAAAAAAATATCTCACTGAATGCTCAGTTTCCCTGGTAAAAACCATGCATCTGGGGGGAACTTTTTGGCTTTTGTTTTTGTTTTTCAGTGTCAGTGATGCTTTACTCTGATAATTGGGACAATACTGTAAATGACAATAATGACTAATATGTATTGAGGGCTCTATGATGGCCACTATTATAAGTGCTTTATATGTATTAATTGATTCTTGTAACAACCCTATGAAGTTGGCATTCTTCTTCTTACCACTTATAGATAAACTGAGGCACAGAGTAGTGAAGTGACTTGCCCAAGGTCATACTGCTAGTAGTTATCTCCTTCTCCTGTCACCCAAACTGGTTCTTATTTATTCTTTGGTTTATTTTCCCTTTATTCTTTTTTCTTTCTTCTTCTTTTTTTTTTTTTTTTAGTTTTTTTCTTTATTTTAGAGAGAGAGGAAGGGAGAGAGAGATAGAAACATCGATGGAGAGAATATCGATTGGCCGCCTCCTGCATGCCCCCCACTGGGGATCGGGCCCACAACCTGGGCATGTGCCCTGACCAGGAATTGAACTGGCAACCTCTTGGTGCATGGGTCAATGCTCAACCACTGAGCCACACTGGCTGGGCTTAAGTTTTATCTTTATCATCTTAAATATATGAAGAAGTGTATTTGAAATGCTGTGTTTTTATTTATTGTAGTAACCTGCTCTGGAAGTACACTTGGAATGGGTAAGTCATTTTCCTTATGCATGAAATAGAAGGGAGTTTTCTTGTTGCATTTTAGGGTAACAGTGAAGTCAGAATCAAAGCTGATTCTTCAATTAGCCAGGAAGGCAAATGCAAGGGTGTCTGCTTCCAGTCTGCTTGGACAGATGTGGAAGAAAAGAGGTGCCGAGAGGGAGACTGGAATCAAGATAACGCTCACTGGCTCTTTGGGTGTGCTCAGGGCTGATCCCATCTAGGCTACTCTGGGAGCCCCATGGAGGCTACTGTGGGACCAGGCTGTGGAGATGACCTCTCCGAGTTGTGTGTGCCACCCCACTCAGTAGCATGTGCTGCTTCATGAGAAGTGCTTGCCACACTCTTCTAGGGGCCGGCTTGGTTTTAGGGCTTGGGAAACCCCCCAGGGAATCTTATAAACCCCAGAATATGCATGCATACACACATATGCGCAGTCAGACATGGCTGACTTCAGAGGATGTGAGTGGAAATGAAGCCTTCCTACCAGCAAACCCTGCCCAACTGCCCCCCAGTCTGGGCCAGCTTCCCATCCAACACTTCCTCCCACAGGCTTGGACTCTCTCCCCATTGCCAGGTCTCTGTTTCCTCTCCCAGACTACTGCTTCTCTGAGCACAGCAGGACACCTGCAGGCCTCAAATAAGCACAATCCCTATTAATTTTTAAAGGGTTTCTGTTTCTAGTGACTACAGGGAAACAGGCCTAGCTTATTGAAAACAAACTGAAAAAAACTTCTAAATGATAAAAAACTACTTTTTAAAAACTCCCAGTGTACATTTCACTGAAGACTAGGTCTGCATTCTTGGAACCTATTTCCAGTATTATAGCGGATTTTAATCAGTGGAGGAACTGTGGAGGGGCAGTTAAAGCGTCTCGGGGGCTCCTCGTAGGAGAGGAGTCGTGTATTATATACTGGCCTTCCCCAAGATTTTGTTAAAGAGAGAGTGGCAATGTTTTTTTTATAAATGCCTGAAAACCATCACTCTTAGATTTTGCTACTTTTTCTCACCAGAAAGCTTGTTCAAAATGTACAATCTCCGGTCCACTCTGATTTACTACATCCCCAGGTGGTTCACATGCATGTTCAAGTCTGAGAAACACTGCTTAGTGGTAGTTCTCAGACTTTGGCATGTATCAGAAACTCCTGGAGAGCTAAGAGTAAATCTTAAAGTTCTATCAGGATCCCAGGTGATTGTGATACTTGGGAAGTTTGAGAAGGACTGCTCTGGGTCACTGCTGTCCCCTTCCCCTGTCCCTCTGAGCTGCCCTAATCATTGCTTCTCTCTTCTTTAGTCAGGTTCAGTCTCCAGCCTGAAATCTGCCTCTCTCTCTAACTAGATCCTTGTTAGAAATCTTGCAAGACCTTCAAAAATAAGCATTAGCTGAGTCATGTGAGGGCCTCTACATCAAACAGAATTCATCATGTCTCTAATGTCAGCATTTTTCCTCTCTGCACAGACTACTAGTCAAATGAGGTCCCCAGGTGACATGTGGCCTCCAGATATGCTAAAGGCAGCCTTGAGAATCTTGTTGCTCTAAGACTTTCGGCCTCCCTTGACTCTTGGATTGCCCTAAATAGTTTTTATTATTATTATCTCTTATCCTAAAGCTTTTCAACAGTATGAATGGATCTCTTTAAAGAAATGTTTTTCTTTATTGATTTTAGAGAGAGAGGAAGGGAGAGAGAGAAAAAGATAGAAACATCAATGAGAAAGAACATTGATTGGCCACCTCCTGCATTCCCCCCACTGGGGATTGGGCCCACAACCTGGACATGTGCCCTGACCAGGAATTGAACCAGCGGACCTCTTAGTACATAGGTCAATGCTCAACCATTGAGCCACATCTGCCAGGCCTCTTTTTTTTAATCCTCACCCGAGGATATGTTTTCATTGAGTTTTAGAGAGAGAGGAAGGGGGGGAGAGAGAGAGAGAGAGAGAGAGAGAGAGAGAGAAACATCAATGTGAGAGAGAAACATCGATCAATTGCCTCCCATATATACCCCAACTGGGAATCAAACCCGCAGCCTAGATATGTGTCCTGGTCAGGATTCAAACCTGCAGCCTTTTGGTATATGGGACAATGCTCCAACCAACTGAGCTATCTGACCAGAGCTCAACAGCATGAATGGATCTTTTAAAGAGACAGATCTGGGTTCAAATACTGCCCTTATCACTTGTCCTCAGGCAAATTGCTTCAATGATCTCTCAGCCTAGGTTTCCTCATCTGAAAATTGGAATAAATAATCACTTCACAAGATATTCTGAGGAAGAAATGAGATGTAGATTGTTGGACACAATGACAGGCCCATAGTAAGCACTGAATAAATGGTAGTTATTATTAATTCATGATCAGCTTAGGCTCATATCACACTCTGTTATATTATGTGCATTTAATGTGCTACTTCTAAGGTATCTGCATTTTAACCGCAGTCTTCATAATACCCTAACTCGTTGGTTCTCCAACCGTGGTCCCAGGGCCAATAGCATGAGCAACATCTGCGATCTTTTTTTTTTTTATCCTCACCCGAGGATATTTTTCCATTTTTTGTTCAGATAGAGTGGGAGGAAGAGAGAGAGAGAGAGAGAAATATCGACGTGAAGGGACACATCGAGTGGCTGCCACCCGCACGACCAACCAGGGCCGGGGACAAACTGCAACCGAATTACGTGCCCTTAGCGGGAACCGAACCCGGGTCTCTCTGGACCGCAGGCCGACGCTCTAACCGCTGAGCCAAACCGGCCAGGGCCTGCGATCTTCTTAGAGGTGCAATTTCTGGGATCCACCATAGACCTATTAACCAGAAATTCTGATATTGGGGCCCAGCAATCTTTGTTTTAAGAAGCCTGCAAACTGATTTTGAGGCACACTAAGGTTTGAGAACCATCGCTCTAATTCAAGGGAGCTACTTTGATGCTGGCAATCTGATGTGGGTTGGAGGGAGAGAAAAAACCATCTGTTTGTGGTGACAGGGCTTTAACTACAGGTAGAGGCAGGGCTTGTGCCTGTTAGCAATCATTCTGTGGGGGTGCCCATCTAAGTCAGCACCCCGCTGCTTCAGCACACATTCCAGGGAAATTTGAGGACATTTCCTTTTCATAACTCCCTGGGCAATTTGTTTACGCTTTCTCTACACAACATTCTCCCTGGACCATTAAAATTTTGGAGCTCCCAGAGAGCACAGTAGTTGACCTGGGGTGGAGAGGAAAGTTTGTTGTCCTGGGTTCATAATCTGATCTCAAAGAAGATCTTTGGGAGAATTCCTTTCATGAATTGGGAGAATTCATTTCACAAAGCAGGATCAGCAGGATCAAGATCCCCCTGGTTGGTTAGACTACTAATCAGTTCCTTTTTGCCCTTTGAATAGCTCAGGCTCTATGCATTGCCGGCTTCCTTCTTGTGAAATGGCATTTCAGGTCAAAATACTAACCTAAATCTCAGAGACATTTGAGGGCTTTTTAATTTAAGAACATGTCTGCATATTTCATGCATCTTGTGGCTCATTCCCTCCTTTGTCCTTCTCAGTTATTTACAGAGGGAAGAGAAATGCAGAATGAAGAGTGAGCCACAGTGACCACAGAGACTGACCTAGTGAGTAATATGAATCCACATGGTGTGACTCCAAGGCATAGTTTTTTGTCTTTGTGTTTAAAAATTCTTTCCATACCTTTTGCAGGGTTGTCTCAAATGCTAGTGTGACTAGAGATGGAACCGATCTATTAGTATATCCAATGCATCTAGGATAGGACAAGCTCTTTAGAAGAACAGCTCTGACTCTACTTCCTGAGGGTGAGATCAGGTGTGTCCTCACCTGCCCAGGACTTCAAGATGTGCTTCAGGGAGGACTCAGGAGACAGAGTCCTCTGGAAGGCTGCCAGAGTAAGCCTCTGTGCTGGTTAAGTCCTGGACACGTGGAAGTTCTGCCTAGGAGATTCTTTCCGAGATTTCACATCAGACACACCATGGACTCCGACGCATCTATTTCATAAGCATTTCATTGACACCAGCACTGGCCATGTAGCCCTTTACTTATTCAAGGACTGGAAAGGGTCACAGCCAAAGAAGGCAACCTCAAGCCACCATACCAAGATGCTGCTCATCCCCAAACAAACCACCAGGACTTCAGCATAGGCTGGCTAGCAGCAGCTTCCAGGCCCACCTATAGTAACAAACACCCTCATTTCAAGTTGGAAGAAGCCAAGCTGCTTGCAGGGTTGGCCAAGCCAAAGAATGAGGTGACGTGACCTCTGCTGGAGCACCTGGGAAAGTGGAGTTTTGGGCTTGTTGCTAGAAGGATCACAGCCACGCTTTTGAGTGTGCAGATTTCAGATGGAGAGACAGCCAGGGGCAGGGCCTCAAACTGTGGCAGACTGACATATGTACACCTTTTCGGGGGAGGACCATCAATCTTGTTGGCTGTTTCCCCCATTCACAGTGTAACTTTCTTTTCATCTTTGGAGAGGAAAAGTAATGGTTATATATAATATAAATCTGTTGCACCTAAAAAATGTGTCCTTCGAATGCCAGTAACTCTATTATAAAATAGTAGAAGTAGGACTTGTATAACACATACACAACTAGTGTTCACTCCTCCAAAGCAAAGCTGTGGAGCCAAGAATTGTAGTTAGGAAACACCTCAGAATTCTGCCTGGTAGGAACTGGAGCATTGGGCTTCAGGTAAATTGAGAAGGAAGGCAAACTTCCTTGTTTCTGTCCCCTTTCCCGTTCTGTGTAAGAATGATCAGAGATACATGATGTGTCACTGATAAGAGATACTCCCCAGAGCATCTGCACTTGAAAAAGGGACAAGCCATTGAGCTCTAACAGTGGAATTTGCTGCCTCAGTGGGCACACACAGAAGAGGACTGCTTAGTTCCAGTGAATGAATGGGACTTAGACAGGTGCATCCACATCACTCTGGGGAACTCATTACTCAATACAGACTCCCAGGTACTACCCCTGGATATTCCAACTCCATAGCTCTGGGACCAGGCCTGCGAATCTATATTTGTGACAAACTCACCAAGTTATTCTGACTTGTGGCCAGATTTGGGGGCCTTAAACGGCTTTCCTTGATGAGCTCTTTCTTGAAGCAAATTTCAGTGAAGTGAGGCTGACAAATGTTAAAAGGTAACTGAAGCATATTTAAATTTTTGGATTTATTTGAGCAGAAATTGATTCAAATTTGGCAGCAGCAAGGTGGAAGTTGTTAGGAGCCTTCACTGATGGGGGCTTGGAGGAAAGACTTTTATGGAGAAGAAGTCAAATCAAAGCAAGGATATTGTTTGATTGGATATCTCTTAAGCTGTTGCCTTATTTGAAAAAGCCTGGTTGGCTGCTTGTGATTGATTGTCCTTAGATTTTTGATTTCTTAGCCTTGAGGCACTTATAGGCTTAGGTTTTGATTTGCTTAGATAGGCTACTAAGGTATTAGAACTACCCCAGTCTAATGGCCTCCTTATTTAATTAACTTAATAGAAGATACCAGGCTGTGCTTTTGGGGAAAGATTGATGAGAAAATCTGGAGGGTTCAGACTGGGTCCATACCCTGGAAGGGCAACCATGAACTGGGGCAGCTTTCCGGGCTATGGTCCAGAGCCTGTGTGAGACAGTGCTAAGCCCAACTGCCGCCAGAGTGTGGCCTGACTGGAATAGCCAAAGAGCTGAGGTCAAAGACCAAATGGAAGGCCAGGATCCCTGGCCCTAGGACACCAGGGGGGCTGAGACCAGAACACCCATATCCTATAAACACCAGGGCACAGAAAATGAAATGACTGTCTACTTAGCTAGGATCTAAAGCTAGGCTACTTTGGTCAGAGTTCCACACAAGTCAGTGTGGTCCACCCCAGGTGAACATAAAACCAAAACAGGGATGGATCTGCAAATACTACACATTTCTATTTTTAGAATTTTTTATTTTTATTTATTTTAGAGAGAGAAAAATAGCAAGAGAAAAACATCAATAGGCTGCCTCCTGTACGCCCCCTACTGGGGGCTGAGCCCACAACCCCAGGGTATGTGCCCTGACCGGAATCGAACCAAACACCTCTTGGTGCATGGATGCTCAAACAACTGAGCCACACTGGCCAGGCCAATATTACACACTTCTAAGTGCTTTCCATAAACTCATTTCATTCTTGTAACAATCCCATGAGCTAGAAAATAATATTATCGCCTTTATACAGATAAAGGAAATGAGATCCAGAAAGGTCAAGTAACTCACCCACGTTTACACAACTAACCAGTTCAAACACAAATTCTCATGGGGCCAAGTAAGTATGTAGCATTGCCTAGACCTGCTAATCCATGATATCTTTATGAAAAATATTTCTCTGGATTATCATGATTAAGCCATCAATTATTAATGGGCCAGTGCTTCAACCATTGAGCCACACTGGCCAGTGCTCTGCCTAAACTTTCTAAGTCTGAGCTCATATGATCTTCTCTGGGAATCAACTTTCAACAATAGTTCCCTTTTTGTTTTTTTTGGTTCCTGAAGCGTTGATAGCCTCTTCTACATAATTTGGCACGTGAATTTGTTTAGCAAATAATTATTGTTTTATTGGTTTATTTATGTATATCATCATCATTAAGACATGCTTTTTAAATCAACTTTTGACTACTTTCAGCATGCCAGTAATTGAGCTCCATAATTAGACTATAAATTCTTCAGAACAGGGTTTCTCATTTCTTCGAAAGCCCTGCACAGTTCTGGGCACACAAAGTGAATAAACTTTTGGAGGTGGGGTAAATTTTCCGTTCGGTTGTTGAACTGACCACTGAGTGAAGTCTATTATGAACCGCTCCGCAAAGAGAATTCTTTTGTAAAGCGAAGAATCCCTCCCTTGCTCACGTATACGACCCGCGAATTCGAAATGTCTTAGGTCCTGTCAGCTCACAATCTGTCGGCACGTTTTCTTCTTCTGACGTCACCCGACATGGAACCTCGGAGGACCCAGATTCCTGCTAGGGGGCGCTCGATTGCCCACGGCGTTCCACCCGCACTGCGCAGCCTCGGTGCAGGGGTGGGCCGAAATCCCTTGCAGACGCACTTGACGTCGCCGGAGGGCGCGGCCCGCGAGTGGGCGGGGCTACCCCGAGCTCGCCGCTCACTGCTGACGTACGTTGCCAGCGGGAGGCGGTGGCTGCTCCTCTGCAGCTTTCGGAAGATGGCGCCGCCGGTGACGGAAAGGGGGCTGAAGAGCGTCGTGTGGCAGAGTGAGTGCGCTGGGGCAGGGGCTGAGAGAGAGAAGGCCAGAGGCGCTGGCTTTCCTGCCCCGGACCGGCGTCCTCTTGGGGAGCCGCCGCGGGCACTTGTTGCCTCGGGACAAAGGTCCCTGAATGACTTCTTCCTTTTCCCCTTCCCAGCCCTGTTTCTTGGCAGCAGCGGGATGGGCGGGGTGCGAGGACGCGGCCTTCTCGCTGGCGTGGGGCATCGCCTCGCCTCGGCGGGCGCTGGCCGGAGCCCCGCGGCGGGGAAGCGGCCTCGGCCGGCGTGCCCTCTCGCGGCCCCTGCGCGGGTCCCGGCCGTGCCCCCCGGGCGCCTCCGAGGCCGCTCCAGTCGGTGCCGTCTCCCGCCGAGACAGCCGCAGCCCTGTGTTTTGGTGTCCCGCCCCTCCCTGCTCCCCACGCCTGCGTAATCATGTTAGTACCAAGGAGGGGTTTACAACCGTAGTGTTCAGTGTCCTTTACAAAACAACAACTCACTGTCAAAACACACCCTCCTTCCTGTTCCTGAAGAAGCCCACTTTGTCAGCACTTCTTGGGAAGGGCCAAGCTGCACCTCCACCCCTCCGCTCTCAGTCGCCGGGCCCCTCCCTGCTCTTAGGACGGTACCACTTTCTGGTTCCTGATGTTCTGCCATATCATCCAGAACTTTCATGGAAGTCGCTCCAAACCTAGGTCTGCCGGGTTGGAGAAGGAATGACACCGCCAGACAGGAAGAACCATCATTGTTTGGCATTGCTGGGTGCAAAGTAATTATAGTCTAGTAGTGGGAAGGGAGCAGCATCTAATTATTTCTGACTCCAGCTTGTTGAGCAAAGAACACACACGACTGAGTTAAAATTCTGGGAGTTACAGAGGTCCCTGTGTGAAATGAGAACTCCAGATCAGTAACTGCCATTGTGCTTAACACACCAGGTACTAAAATCAAGTGTATAAAAGGAAAGGAAAAGAAAAAAGTTACGAAAACATCTTAAAAAATTGGATAATTATAAGGTTGCATATTGTTTTTCAAGATTTACCCCTGGCTGACTTTTAATATGGTAATGATGGCAGCTAAATACATTTATATGAAAATGAGTAACTAATTGTATTGTATAAATAATTTCCAACATATATAATGATTCAGAAAATAGGGTTCATGACAGTAATGTATCCATAGCATGGAAACTGGGCAGGAGAGGGAGTTTAGAGGTAACAAGATATCCACCTTGTGCTGTTAACAGGAGGAAGCACCAGAGTATCTAGATAGAGTGTAAGATAAAGAAGTCAGGAGATTGAATGGAAGGAAAGAGATATGAGTTAAAAGTAGTTCTTAGGATCTTTTTTAAAAATATGTTTTTATTGATTTCAGAGAGAGAGGAAAGGAGAGAGAAATATCAGTGTGGATTGAACCTGCAACCTGGGCATGTGCACAGACTGGCAATTGAACTGGCGACCTTTTGGGCATGAAATGATGCTCAAACTACTGAGCCACGCCAGCTAGGGCAGTTCTTAGAATCTTTGTGTAAATAGAAACATAAGCAGAAAGACAAGATGATATTCATTCAACATTTAGTGAGGAGAGAGAAGGGGGAGCCTCAGAGATCTATTAGCAAAAGATGACCAAGTCAGAAAGAAATGAAACATTATCCTTAGAGGTAGGAGAATCATTCATTTGACTGGGAAAAGATTTTTCTAGGTTGAAGATAGTACTGTTAGGTAAGGTAGAAAGCTAAATAACCTTCAGTTTAAAACACAAAGTAGGGAGAAAAGAACTAATTGTTTTGAACATTTACTCTGTGCCAGGCACTCTACATATATTAAAACGCAGTAAGTTTTAATCTCTGATTCACAGCTGTTATCATAGCTGCATTATTCAAATAGTCAAAAGTCAAAACAACCCTAATGTCCATAGATGAATAACATGTGGTATGTTCACACAGTGAAATATTATTAGGCAATAAAAAGGGATGAGTACTGATACATGCTGTAATATTGATGAACCTTGAAAAACTTATGCCAAATGAAAGAAACCAGTCACAAAGAACCACATATAGTATGACTCCATTTATATAAAATATCCAGAATGGAAAAATCTATAGAGACAGAAAGTAGATGAGTGGTTGCTTACGTGAGGGGGTAGGGATTTGGGGATGCTGGCTAAGAGGAATGATTTCCTTTTGGAGTAAAGAAAATGTTCTAAAATTGATCATGGTGATAGATGGATGGCCCTAAATATACTGAAAGCTATTTTTTCCCCCATTTTTTTGTTCAGATAGAGGGGGACGGAGAGAGAGAGAGAGAGAGAGTGAGAGAGATAGAAACATTGATGACAGAGAACATTGACTGGCCACCTGCTGCATGCCCCCCACTGGGGATTTGGCCCACCACCTAGGCATGTGCCCTGACCGGGAATCAAACCAGCAACCTCTTGGTGCATGGGTCTATGCTCAACCACTGAGCACACCGGTCGGGCTTTTTTTTTTTTTTTTTTAATTCTGACCCGAGGATATTTTTCTATTAATCTTCAAATAGAGTGGGAGGGAGAGAAAGGGAGAGAGGGAGAAACATCGACGTGAGAGGGACATATCGACTGGTTGCCTCCTGCACGACACCGACCAGGGCTGGGACAAGCCGCAACTGAGGTATGTGCCCTTGGCCGGAATTGAACCCTCAACTCATTGGTCTGTGGGCAGATGCTCCACTGCTGAGCCAAACCAGCCAGGGCTGGATTTTTTTTAAATCCTCACCTGAAGACATGCTTTTTTTCATTGATTTTAGAGAGAGGAAAACAGGGAGAGAAAGAGAGAGAGAAACCTTGATATGAGAGAGAAACATCAATTGGTTGCCTCCCATAGCACCTCGACTGGGGATTGAACCTGAAACCCAGGTATGTACCCTGACTGGGAATGGAATCTGAAACTTTTTGGTGCACGGGACGATGCTTTAACACAGAGCCACACTGGCCAGGGCTATACACAGATACTTTTTCTTGTTACTCCTCACCTGAGGATATTTTTCCATTGATTTTTAGAGAGAGTGGAAGGAAGGGAGGGACTGAAAGAGAGAGAAACATCTATGTGAGAGAGACACATCGATTGGTTACCTCCTGCACATGCCCCATCTGGGCAGGGATCAAACCTGCAACCCAGGTACGTGCCCTTGACCAGGAATTAAACCCAAAACCCTTCTGTATGCAGGTTGACACTTTAACTGCTAGGCCACACCGTCCTGGTCTTTATCACAGATTTTTGACTGCACAGCAGTGACACCCATTGTATATGGTATGCAAGTTATATCTCAATAAAGCTATTTAAAAAAATTGACACAGCTATTAAATATAGATGTAGTTTTTTGTTTTGTCTTGTTTTTTATCCTCACCTGAGGACATTTTTCCATTTTTTGTTCAGATAGAGTGGGAAGGAGAGAGGAAGAGAGAGAGAGAGAAACATCAACGTGAAAGGGACACATCGAGTGGCTGCCACCCACACGACCAACCAGGGCCGGGGACAAACTGCAACCGAGGTACACACCCTTAGGGGGAACCAAACCCAGGTCTCTCTGGACTACAGGCTGATGCTCTCTAACCGCTGAGCCAAACTGGCCAGGGCTAGATGTAGTTTTCATATTTTGGTCTTTGACTGCAGAGTTAAGGTGTGACCTGTCTGTGACTTTCCGTATTTAAACCTTAGTTCAGAGCAATAGCCTAACTGAGCCTCCAAGCCCTAGTTCTCACTCCAGTCCACCTGGCTAGTAGCTACTAGAATGATTTTTCTGTAACTGTACTGTGCTGTGATCTGTTGAAGACCAGCAGAGACTACCCTCTTGCCCCCCACCAGTTGTCTAAAGATCATTTAAAACAGTCTTCTTTTGAAGACAACGTGGCTCCAGACTACCTTGTTATCTACTTTCCCTTGTATAATCTTGATATTCAGCTGGTCTGTACTGTTTACTCCTCTGTGAATCTTCTACCTCCACATCTTGATGCCAATTCCCCTATTTTTCACTTATCCATATTTTAGTGAGCCTTCAAATCTCAGCTCAAATGGGGCTACAACCTCCATAATGACTTCTCATTTTAACCCAGCCTCTTGTATTTCTGTAGCATTTAGTTTATCCTCAAATGGCATGACTCACTACTGCCTAATGTGAGTCTCTTGTTAAGCTTCTTGAAGGCAGGTTCACTGCTGTGTCTTTTCGAGCTTAAAATTTAGAACAGGCCCTAGCAGAATGCAATGGATAACAATGCTTGTTAAAAGTAAACAGTAGATCAGTTTATATATTTCCTCCATTTTTTGCTACCTGAAGTCCCCCATTTATTCCATAAATATTATTAAATTCCTATGTGAATATAACAGTAGAAGGCAGACAAGTTCTCAGCCTTCTTAAAGCTTGCATTCAAGTGCAAAATAATAGAAAATAATAAAGAATAAACATGATTATTTCAGTTTGTGATACAGAGAGAGGGGCTATTTTAGGTAGGTGGATCAGGAAAGGTATCTCTAAATAGGTGACACCTGAGCTGAGACCTTTACATCTCATGTTTTAACATGAGAAGGAACCAGCTTCTATGGACTACCCTTAAAAAAAAACACAAAAAAAACTTTTGAGTGCAAAGACTACATTTAGTACTTACCAAACTAATTCCCATACTTAAAATCAGCAATTAGTGCTTGGTATTTCTCATTTGTCACTTTTTGCTTGGGAAGTGGCAGCAAAAATATCACTGATAAACAATTTTAAATAAAAATCTAATGAAGTTTATTTAGAAAATAAACACAACACAAAACAACAGTAGTCAAATAAACCAAAATCACATGAAAGCCACCTTTTTTCCCCCCTTATTCAGTGCAGTTTATTTTATTGTTTATAAACAGTAGTGTATTCTAGTGTCTGTAATTCATACTTTAGAGGAAGCATTAGCAAAAATCAACCTAGAGAAATTATAAAAGTAATCACAATGTATATGAGCCACTTCTTTATGTATTAAATCATAACCTTGCCCTCTTCACATTTTTCTTCTAGTCTATATTGCTCCAGATATATTTTTTATTGTCATTCCGTGACTTCCTTTTTTAGAACTTTAGCATATTTTCCATGCTCTTTTATAATCTTTGTAGTTTACATTTTAAATCATTAAATACCTTGATGTGACAAAATATTTAATAGAAAAGATTATATAATAAAATTAATCTAGCTCTCAACCCAGATCCCCATCCTTCGTCTCCAGAGATAACCACTCTTAGGTTTTTTTCTAAATTCTTCTTGAAGTTTTCCATGCAAATATAAGCATAAAATGTGTTTTTGTTTTAATCAGTTAACCTTTGTTTTATCTTTTTTCATTCTCATCACTTAGAAGTAACTGTAGTCTCCAGTTGAGGCATGTAGGTGCTTAGTCCTATATTATGTAATTCCATCCAAGGAGAGATGGGCTATAAGATTTGTGGAAATTGAAGGACTGGTGGGGGTTAGAAATGGGGAGAAGTTAGAGTACAAACTTCTAGTTAGAGAATGAATAAGTTCTGGGGATCTAATGTACAGCATTGTGGTGACTATAGATAGCAATACTGTGCTGTATTCCTGAGAGTTGCTAAGAGAGTAGATCTTAAATGTTCTCACCGCCAAAAAGATGATAATTATGTGAGGTGAAGTTAACTAACACTGTAGTGGTAATTATATTGTAATATATGTGTATCAAATCAACACCTGTTCTTTCAAGTTAACACAATGTTATATGTCAATTATATCTCAGTAACTCTGGGGAAAAGAAATTGAAGGACTGACCTAAAAGAGAAACTTTGATGATGAGTATGGTCCCTGAGGAAGAGTTTAGAGCAAGCACTGCAAAAATTAAGAGAATTGAATCCTGGGATATAGCTATATTTAGAGTGCTAGACAAATGGACATGGGTCAGGTAATTTTTATTCGTATTTAAAGGAAATACCTTTTTAGTTCTGTAATATTAGTTGATGTGGTTTCCTTTTATTCCTCTCCAAACATACCTTACCTGTAACCATATCACTTTTTATGGATGCCCCTAATCTCTGTCCACAAAACTAGTTATTTCTTTCATTATTTTTAAAATGTCTACACTGACTATCCTAGGTATCCTTAGATTTTAAGGCAGAAATATAATGCAAGCCACATAAGACATTTGGAATCTCCTATTAGCCACATTTAAAAATAGTAAAGAGAAACAGGTGGAATTATTTTTAATATATTTGGTTTAACCCAGTATATCCAAAACCATCTTTTGAATATGTAGTCAATAGGAAAAAAAACTTTATGTTCCTTTTATTATACACCTGGTTTGTATTTTATATTTGCAGGACATCCCAGTCAGGCTAGCCACATTTTTAGTGCTCACTAGCCACATGTGACTAGTTTCTACTGCATAGGATAGTGCAGTTTCTAATATTTTAAAGACTAAAGAGATGAGTTCTGCCTAGTGAATGCTTCAGTCGGCTCCATAATAAATTTCATGAGCATTCATTTCTTGGGAAAATGACGCAAATCTAATAAGATAAGCCAAATGTCTTTGATTTTCAGCTTATTTGAGGTATACAGGAATTAGAAAGGGAAGAATAATATTTCGGTGTTAAGCTCTGAAAAAAATTCTTCATCTATGCCTGTAGAGTACCGGAAACCAGTGCTTTGGACTTAAATTATAGCTAAATACTTAAGGCTTTTGCCACTATTCTCATATAACATTATAATCTTCCTAGCAAATATAAATAAGCATCTTATAACTAATATTTCTTAACACTTTTGACCTTCCCAATCACAATAAAACCTTCCAGGTCACAATTCTTATGATGAGTATTAGTAACCCTTAATGAATATACCTTGTACTTGAACATGTTACTCTTTAATATGATGCCAAAAACTTGATGTAATTTCTAAAAGCATTAACTTAAAACAAATATAAATTAAGAAATAGAAAAGTTTAAATGAATTATATAAGCATCTCATTACCAGGAATTAATGAAAGACACAAAAGTTACTATAATTTACATTTTAATTATATTTTGTTTATTGCATACGACACAGTACTACAGTTTTCAAAATTAATTGAAAATTAATAAGACCTAGTAAATGTGGGAAATTGTCTTATAAAGTAGAATAATAGATATTTTTGTGAATTGCCTGTGTGTATTTTTTTATTTAATACATAAGAAAAAAATAGTGTACTAATTTAAAAAAATGTATTTAGATTAGTTTTGAAAATCTTTGCAAGGACCATATTATCATCATAATTCAAGACAGAATGTTATATATATTTGTATGTGCTGTGATATATGTTATTGAAAATTATAATGTAAATCAGGAAGAAAAGTATCTAGTTTTTTGTTGTTTTGTTTTTTTTTATCCTCACCCGAGGACATTTTTCCATTTTTTGTTCACATAGAGTGGGAGAGGGAGAGAGAGAGAGAGTTATTGAAAAATTATAATGTAGTAAATCAGGAAGAAAAGTATCTAGTTTTTTGTTGTTTTGTTTTTTTTTATCCTCACCCGAGGACATTTTTTCATTTTTTGTTCACATAGAGTGGGAGAGGGAGAGAGAGAGAGAGAGAAACATCGACATGAAAGGGACACATCGAGTGGTTGCCACCTGCACAACCCAACCAGGGCTGGGGACAAACCGCAATCGAGGTATGTGCCCTTAGCGGGAACCGAACCCAGGTCTCTCTGGACCACAGGCTGACGCTCTAACCGCTGAGCCAAAGTGGCCAGGGCGAAAAGTATCTAGTTTTGATTGTCAGATGTAATTTTCCAATGAGCTAGTTAGGGATTTTCCTATGGGTTTTTTGTTTTCCTCTTGTTTACTGGGGATTTAAGTAAATAGGGAAAAACAAATTAGATAATACTTTCAGTAATATTTTCCAGATGTTTATATATTTAATTATATTAGCTTTTTTTAAATTATACTCTCATTCTCAAAAGTTTAAACATATATTACAGTTTAAATGTTACCATATAGGTTAAGTATTAAAGAGAACTGGATTTTTACATACAGTTTAACAAGTATATATACTTTTTATATAGCTTAGCAGAATTTCAGATTGGCTATTTCCCTAGCCATCTTGGGCCATTATTATATTTCTAACTGTTGATTAAGATTCTTAAGTGATTTTTTTTCCCCCCAGAAATAAAAGCAACAGTGTTTGATGACTGCAAGAAAGAAGACGAATGGAAGGTAGGATTTGCATATTTTGCCCTTATATTGAGAACTTCAATGTATTGTCATTATTATACTTCTAAAAGAGTATAGAGTCTGGAACCATACCACTTGTGTTCAAATCCTAGTTTCACTTGATAGCTGTGGCTTCTTGGGCAAATTCTTGATCTCTCTGTTCCTCTCTCTGTTTCCTTGTCTATAAAATGGGGATGGTAGTACCTCATAGAGAAGTTGTAAATATTAAAATGAATTTATCCATGTAAAATGCTTTAGAACAGTGTCTGGAACAATTATTCTACAAGTGGCACTTTATAATTTTAAGAAAATTGATTGCTAAACATAACATAAATTTAAAATGAATGTTCTCTGCCTCAGAATGGAAATATTTTCATTTGCTCACTTGTATATAATACTACATGTGCGTATATTGAGAAACTAAATCTCTGGGTCATGCACAATAAAAGATAAGTTGAGATAATTTTGCATACTTCCTGATATTTTAATTTTATGTTATAAAAAGTTTATAAATTTGAGTAGATTTAATGGATTAAATTCTGTTTGTTTTTGGTGAATTCTTAGCAATCAAATGTTTATACTATTTTTTAATTTATATTCAATTTAAGATAATGCTGTTAGATGAATTTACCACCAAGCTTTTGGCATCGTGTTGCAAAATGTCAGATCTTCTAGCAGAGGGTATAACTGGTAAGTGTTACCAGTCCTCAGCATTTTTTATGGTTGGGAAAGTTTGAAGTATTAATAAATTTTAGTTAGTAATTGTGTTTCTAAGGGGGTTATGTTATATATATATATATTTTTTTATCCTCACCCGAGGACATTTTTCGATATTTTGTTCAGATAGAGTGGGAGGGAGGGAGGGAGGGGGAGAGAGAGAAACATCGATGTGAAAGGGACACATCGAGTGGTCGCTACCCACACGACCCAACCAGGGCCGGGGACAAACTGCAACCAAGGTACGTGCCCTTAGCGGGAACCGAACCCAGGTCTCTCCAGACCGCAGGCTAACGCTCTAACCGCTGAGCCAAACTGGCCAGGGCTATATATATTTTTATAACTCTCGCCATAATAATTACACTGGACATTCTTTTCTCTATGAATCTTCAGAATAATCTCTCTAACACAGGTCTTTTTTTTCCCTCAGCAGAGACATATGATTAAGTGCCTCTAACCAAGACTAAGTCAGTTGCTTTGTTCAGTTTGTTCTGCAAAATTTTTTTTTAAATCCTCACCCAAGTATATGTTTATTGATTTTTTTTTTAATTAATTGATTTTTATTTTATTTTTTTATCCTCACCTGAGGACATTTTTCCTTTTTTTTTGTTCAGATAGAGTGGGGGGTGGGGAGAGACACATCAGTGTGAGAGAGAAACATCGATTGGCTGCCTCCCTCATGTGCCCCAACTAGAGATCAAACCCACTACCTGGGTATGTGCCCTGACCAAGAATCGAACCCTCCACCTTTTGGTGTACAGGATGATGCTCCATCCAGCTGAACCACACTGGCCAGGCCCATAATGTTTACTCTTTGACATTTATATATAAAATAATATTTTATGCTCTGGCCAGTTTGGCTCAGCGGTTAGAGCATTGTCCTGCAGACCAGACAGACCCGGGTTCAGTTTCCGCTAAGTGCACGTACCTTGGTTGCAGTTTGTCCCCGGTCCCGGTTGGGTTTGTGTGTGTGGCAACCAGTCGATGTGTCCCTCTCACAACAATGTTTCTCTCTCTCTTCCTCCCTCTCTCTCTCCCACTCTATCTGAAGATAAATGCAAAAATGTCCTCAGGTAAGGATAAAAAATAAAATAAAATAATATTTTATTATTTGTTACATATTCATTCTGTGGTGTTTATTACCTTCAGTAGAAAAGCTCTAAGCTAGAAATCAGAAGATGAAAGCCTTAATTTTTCTACAATTGGATAAGTGTAATATTGGTTAAACTATTTAAGTTTTTTAAGTTTCCAGAGGTCATTCTAATGTGTATCTAGAGTGAGAACCATTTGATAATAAGTGTGAAAGTACTATGAAACTGCAGAACCATTTTGCACTGTAAGGAGGTTTTACTGAATTTTTGTAGACTATTCTTTCTTATTGTGTGTTCAGTGTTGATATTTTTCAAGGAAAGGATTCTGTGGCCAAGTAAGTTTGGGAAGTAGCATTAAACAAAGCTAAACATGTTTCCTTAGGACTTGATGGAGTTTTTTATATGTCTCTGGGTACAGATATAGTATTCAATTTTCTAAACTTATTTGATCACAGAAAGCTTTTTTGGAGAAGCATTTTGTAGGACGTATGTCATCGAGCACATTGCTCTGGACTGTTCTCAATATCCTCGGGTCACCCAGGTTTGCTGTGTTTGTCTTGTTGTTTTTTAAAGTTTTCAATTACAGTTGACATTTAATATCATTTTATATTAGTTTCAGGTATGGTTTATTGTGGTTTAATCATAATCATATCTACTAATTAGAACTCGTCACAGTGTTTTCGAGTTCCACATGTGCTTCTGAGAATCCCCTCTGTTAGACTTGGCATTGGCAGCTTCAGTGATCGGACTTTATTTTTATTCAGGTCGTTCTTGAAAATGTTCAGTAGTGTCTTGGACATTTAAACAGTGGATGAGGAAGAAATGCACATATAATGCTACTTCAATGGAGTAGAGTCAAGTAAAAACCTTTAAAAAAAATAGGCTGGGGATTAGATTGTTATTATTATCTTTTTTTTAATCCTCACCTGAGGACATTTTTCCATTTTTTTGTTCAGATAGAGTGGGAGGGAGAGAGAGGAAGAGAGACACATGGATGTGAAAGGGACACATCGAGTGGCTGCCTCCCACACGACCCCACCAGGGCCAGGGACAAACTGTAACAGAGGTACGTGCTCTTAGCGAGAACCGCACCCAGGTCTCTCTGGACCACAGGCTGACACTCTAACTGCTGAGCCAAACCGGCCAGGGTTAGATTATTTTTTTTGTCACTATTATAGGAATAAACTATAAAAACCTTTTGTTGTTTTTTTTTTTTTAATCCTCATCCAAAGATATTCTTTCATTGATTTTAGATAGAGTGGAAGGGAGTGAGGAGGGAGAGAGAGACACACATTGATTGGCTGTCTCCTGCACAACCCCAAGGAGGGCCAGGGATCGAACGTGCAACACAGGTATATTCCTGTGACTGGAATCAAACCCGCAACCCTTCAGTCTGCAGTCCAGTGCTCTAACCCCTGAGCCAAACCAGCCAGGGCTCTTTTTTCATCATTTGATAGATGTCCACTTTTCAATGAATTGAAGAAGTGGCACTTTCTGCTTTTACTAATCAGACATTTCAGAATATTTTCAAAGTCTGTGTTCCACATCAGATCACGTATTTTTACAACACTTTAACATGTGCATTATTCACCAAACATAATAGTATGTATAGTATAACGTCATTGCTACATCTTTCATTTTCAGTATTAAGTAGTAAAAATAAGTTAACACAGATTTAACTTAATTGTTTAAAGATAAAGTTACAGTTGTTGGGGATGGAGATAAAAATAAAATTAAGTATTTCCTTAGCAATCTTATTTGATATTCTACCTAAAAGAAACTGTGATAAACTTACACTTTTTCAATATAAATTTAGGAATGAGGAAAAAATATCATCATATTTAAAAGAAAAGTCCACAGTATCCTCCCTTGCATGTCAGATTAATGTTTTTAATTCTTTCTAGGGCCTTGCCAATGTGAGTCTTGAAAGGTGGTTCTCTTTATTTGTAGAATGATACTTTAGCTTTAATTGATAATTTCACAATTTAGAGTTTACTATTAAAATTCACTTTTGCTTTATATTATGTACTTTTATAATCTTAATTTTAATAACAGAAATATAATTGAATTGTGATCATTTCATCGTTGAAAAAATACTTTATAATATTAATGTGTGGTTTAACATCGATCACGGCCCCTACTGGGGTTGAGTCTGCAACCCAGGCTTGAGCCCTGACTGGGAATCAAACCAGGACCTCTCAGTCCATAGGATGATGCTCAATCCACTGAGCCACACTGGCTGGGCCAGAGCACAAGTTTTTTTTTTTCTTTATTGATTTTAGAGAGAGAGGAAGGGAGAGGCAGAAACATCAATGAGAGAGAACATCGATTGGCCGCCTCCTGCATCCTCCACTGGGGATCAGGCCCACAACCTGGGCATGTGTCCTGATTGGGAATCAAACCAGCAACCTTTTGGTGCATGGATGGATGCTCAACCAATGAGTCACACCAGCCAGGCTGTCTTTCTTTCTTATGATGAGCACTTAGCCTAGAGTTTAGCCTTAAGGGAAACACAGTTTTAAGACTTTTTAAAATTTATCAAATGAAAACAAAGTGTTAAACCCAAGATATGTAAATCTGTTTCTCTATTATTATAAATAAGAAGTATAGTAAAGTTTATTTGAAAAATGTTTTGAGTGTATAACTATTTGGTTATATAAAATGACTTTTTTTGTTGTTAGTTGTAGAGAATATTTATAAGAATCGAGAACCTGTGAGACAAATGAAAGCTCTTTATTTTATCTCTCCAACATCAAAGGTGAGTATTTTGAATCTTTAAAAAGTTCTTCAGTATTTTCACTATTGACATGATTTTCTCACTGAAAATTTGTAGTAGTAAAATACCCTTTACTAGAAAAATAGTGCCATACTCTGATTGGCTTAGGAACATTTTTCTGTTAGAAGGTTGTTTTATTTGCACTCTTCTCACTAAGAATATAAAGTAAAAAAATTATTATCTCCCCCATATATGAAAGCAGAATTTAATTTATAAAATGTTAGTGTTTTTTTAAAAAAAAAAACAATTTGTTACTTGTGCCATTCCTATTCAGCCATAATTTTTTTTATTTTTATCCTCACCCGAGGACATTTTTCCATTTTTTGTTCAGGTAGAGTGGGAGGGAGAGAGGGGAACAGAGAAAGAGAGAGAGAGAGAAACATCGATGCGAAAGGAACACATCGAGTGGCTGCCACCTCACGACCGACCAGGGCTGGGGACAAACTGCAACTGAGGTACGTGCCCTTAGCGGGAACCGAACCTGGGTCTCTCTGGACCACAGGCCGTCACTCTAACCGCTGAGCTAAACCGGCCAGGGCTCAGCCATAATTTTTAAGAGGATAGAAATGTACTTAAAAGAAATAGTTTGGATTAATCATTTATTTATCTTAGTGACTTCCCTACACACATGTATGTATGCATATATGCGTGCGTTTGTGTGTGTGTGTGTGTGTGTGTGTGTGTGTGTGTACATATATATATTTTTTTATGTTAAAGGAATTTCTTTTTTTTTTTAATTCTCACCCAAGGATATTTTTCTGTTTATCTTCAGATAGAGTTGGGAGGGAGGGGGAGAGAGCGAGAGAAAGAGAGAGAAACATCAGCATGAGAGGGACACATCGACTGGTTGCCTCCTGCAAAAAAACAAAAAACAAACAGAATTTAATCCATTAAATCTTTTCTCTCTCTCTCTCTCTCTCTCTCTCTCTCTCTCTCTCTCTCTCTCTCTCTCTCTCTTTCTGTCTTTCTCCCCCTTTCCTCCTATCTCTAAAATCAATAAATTAAATATATATATAGCCCTGCCTGGTTGGGCTTAGCAGTTGGAGCGTCGATCCTTAGACTTAAGGGTCTTGGGTTCTGTGGCATGTGCCTGGATGGCCGGTTCCATCCCCAGCCCAGGTCTGGTTGTGCAGGAGGCAACAAATTGCTATGTCTCTATCATTGCAGTTTCTCTCTCTCTCGCTTCCTCCCACTCTATCGAAAAACTTAGTGGAAAAATATCCTTGGGTGAGGATTAACAACAACAAAATATATAAATATACACACACACATATACATACACACACTTATATATACATACATACACATATATATGTATATGTATGTGTGTGTATGTGTATATATATATACACACACACACACACACACACACAATTCAGCCATGTTTTAACTCATACTTAAAGCTATATTTTTAGAGTGAAATAAAGTATCAAATTCCTTTATTCTGTACAATATTTGAGAATGCATTTTCCAACACATCCTTTGGCTAATTCCCACCTAGAATGATAATTTGGCAATTCCAGTTTTCTTTCTTTTAACTCTGACAATAGGAAAAAAAACATATATTCACTATTTAGTTTCTACATATTGGTTGCTGGTGAGTTTTAACAACATTTTATATCTTATTCCTGATATCAGTTTATAAGATAAAATTCATGATTAGGAAAAATGCAAGCTAAAAGCACCATCTTTCACCTACTAAATTGACAGAGGGATTTTTTTAAAACATATATATATAAATCTCACATTGTAGCTATCAGTGGGTAATGGAGCAGAAACTACTATAAACTGCTAGTGAGAGTATAGATATAGCCTTTTGGGGATATAATTTGCTGTTTATCAAGAACCTTAAAATGATCTATATCTTTAAGTTTATTATAAAGAAGTAATCAAATAAATGGTCATATTAAATTTCTAACAATAAATAAATCCAATTAAATTCCTAGCATTAATAAATAATGATATGAAAGGCTGTGTGGCCATTGAAAATGAGGTTTCTAGGAAATTTAAGTAATATAGGTAAAAGTTAACATTTTTAATATTACATGCCAAAGCAGGTTACAAAATTGTATATTCAATAAAGGAGCAAAGGATTCAGAGAAAATGGTACCTGAATGTGACTCCCTATTTCTACTACAATCAACTCCAGTTTTTTTTTCTGTCCTTTCTCTTTCTATCCTTAATCAGTTACTTGTTGGGTTCTACAGGTCTCTGGTATAGGTGAGACCTTGGGCTTCTTGTGCACTGGTGGGGAAACCTGGTGTGAGACTTCTTTTCTCAGGGGCTGGGCAAGCACCAGGAGACCAAATCAGCTAGTTCCTGGGCAAGGATCATAAAATGAGCAGATTTGGGGAAGAGTGTGGTCCTAAGAAATCTGTGAATCCTAGGGGAAAGGTCAATTGGGTGTCTCAGAAAAACCCTCGTAGTGCTTTTATATCTATAGCCCTCAGGAGGAGAACCTCTTTGCCTTCCTCCTTTGATGGAAGTGCCCTCTGTTTAAGAGACTCTAGTAATTAAACATAAGCCTCCAGTGAGTTGACAAGAGCAACCATGCATCTAAGTGGGTCAAGCTACTAGAGAGAGGAAGTTCAGTAAGAATAAAGAAAATGCACATCTAGCAAAATATAGCTGCTTAGAGAGAAGAATGACCATCTGAACAGAGAAATAGTACAGATAATGAGATTCTAGTTAACACATAAAAAACTTTCTGAAGCTTAAAAGTGTGACTTCTCAGTTAAACAGTTACTTGAAGAAGAGGATAATCACTGTTGAAATTTGAATAGTAGCCTAGGACATCAGAATGGAGTATCTCAAAGCAAAAAAACAACCAAAGTCCCAGAAATCATGAGGGGAAAGAGACTTGCGGGATAGATCCATGAGATCTAACAGACTATGGTTCTAGGAGTTCCAGAAGGAGAAAAAGGGACAGATGAATGAGAGAGAATTAAATCTTTGTTATTTTTTGCTTTCAGGACACTTTATTTTTAAAACTAGCAGTTTTGAGTCATATTCCAACAGCTATATTACCTGCTATTCCTCCTCCTTACAATCATCTACCAACCTCTGGGTTTTCATTTTACTCCCTTGACAATTTTAGCTCCTAGCTCACTATCACTTTCTTCAACACTTTTCCAGTCATAGTCTCAGAGGTTTCAGTATCTATGTAGATAATACTTGAAATATATTTGTTGACTGCCAGTCCCTTGATCCATTGTCTTCCAGTGGTCTTCTATGTTGCTGCAGCTTCCCAGCCACTTGACCATTCCTAGATTCCCTACTCACCAAACAGCACTCAGTTCATACATATCACCTTACTACTTACTATGTTTCTAGCTGTTGTGTAACTGGCTAGACAACATAGCATCTTGCAAAATAAGTTTATAAATTAAACTTTTAGACAACTAAGGTTTTATTTTAACATTGAAATAAAATAATCTCAGTTATTTCAAAAGATAGCATACTTAAATTTGTATGTAATAACATATATATTAACATCTAACCTTTTTTTAAGTCTGTAGACTGTTTTTTACGTGATTTCCCAAGTAAATCGGAGAACAAATATAAAGCAGCATATGTATACTTCACTGACTGTAAGTAGCTTTGTAAAAGTCATTGTTTCCTCGTTTAAAAGCCTTATAACATGCCAATACTAGTGACTTTTTATTTATTCTAATTAGGTTACAAAGAATCAAAAATATAAGATCATATATATCCTAATTCATTCATAGAAATTAAAGGAGATCATCCCAAACTAGTATCAAAAGATGATCACTTTTGCTGGGATACAAAAGTAGGGGGTTGGTGGAGAGGGCTATCCCTCAAATTCTGTGCTGATAACAGGAAGAATTCTTTTTTAAATCGAAGTTTCAGTTGGGGATGATAAATAAGACCCTTTGGGAGGGCACTGAATAAACTGCCATCTGTTTGGTAAATATTAAGGGAGAAAATTGATCACATTTCTGTTTCTATGCCATATGTTCAGAAAGAAAGCACCTAAATGAAAGAATCATAGAGAAGTTCATAGACACATAATAGTTCTGTTTTATGTTATATATTACATAATTACACTGCAAAGTAAAATGTCATTGATCTAAGTTAGGTCTTGGTCTCTGCTATGAGAGATTCATCATCATAAGTAGTATATTATTTTTTTTTTGTTAATTATTATTTATGTCATACCAAATAGTAGTTTGCATTTTTAAAAATATACCATGAATTTCTGTATATTAAGGTTACCCAAATGACAAAACCTTATTATACAGAAATTCATGTCTATGGAGTTAATAAAATTTAATGAATGTGAAGCCTCTTTTAACATAAGGAATCTTGAGGCTAAAGAACTTCATGTTAAAAGACACTGGGAACCAATGGCTGATATTCTAACCTAGATTTAATGGAACTATAAACAGGTAGGTTAAAAGGGGGAAGGGAAAAAAGAAAAAGAGCTCTAAGGTCCAGAACGTACTAGTTTAGAGTCTTTGAATTTCCTGACACCAGAGAAGTTCCTATAATTAAAGAAAGAATTAACAGTTTGTGTGGTATGATTGCACTTAGTGACCAACCTAGAGAAGAAGTGCAAATTCCTAAAAAGTTCTGAAAGTCCTACAAAATTTTGTTAAGTCATGAGTTGGGACCTGATTTTCCATCCTGACAGTTTTAGTTTGTTGTGTTAGCAGCTTTCTAAGGAAATATATCTTAGGTTATGGTGAATATGAATGGGGAAAATGGAATTTCTGGTATAGTTGTCTTGACTAGAGTATATCTGCTCTGTAAAGTGAAGAACAATATGTACCTATTATCTCTGTCCTCATAGTAAATTGCGTTGTGAAAGTCAGTAATTTATATAAAAAAAAAATATTCTTAGATGTTAGAATGATTTATTCAAAACAGTAAAAATTTAGATGGAGTTATATGCTTTGATTTTCTTTTTTCTTCTCAGTTTGTCCTGATAGTCTCTTTAACAAAATTAAGGCTTCTTGTTCCAAGTCAATAAGAAGATGTAAAGAAATAAATATTTCCTTCATTCCACTTGAATCTCAGGTACTTTCTATTTTATTTTAAATTTTAGTTCATAATAGATTTTAAAATTTTGTTTTATGAACTTATTTGTTAATAAGGTATAGTTCACTTATGTATTTGGTGAATTTTGAACAATCCACAAATAAACATTTCTCATAATTGCCCAGCTGGTGTGGCTCAGTGGATTGAGTGTCGGCCCTTGGACTGAGAGGTCTGTCTCTATTCAATTCCTGGTCAGGGCACATGCCTAGGTTTTGGGCTTGATCCCCAGTGGGGGCATGCAGGAGGCAGCCAATTGATGTTTCTCTCTCACATCGATGTTTCTGTCTCTCTCCCTTCCTCTCTCTCTCTCTCTAAAAAAATCAATAAAAACATATTGAAAATAAACATTTCCCATAATGAAGGGAAGAACATGAGCACTTTATTAGTATATAATATTAATAATGAAAGTGGAGCTTAAATTTCATATCTGCCACTAAGTCCTGTGTTTGCCAAGGTTTATAGCACAGATCAAGAGATCAAATGATTTTGAACACATTCTTCGTTAGATGGCTTTGAGCAGCACAGACACAAGTGGATTAGCTGCAGCTGAATCTCAGTCCATCTTCAGGCTGTACCTAGTTGTGATCAGTTCTGTTCAGAGAAATGACTGACTGTGTGTGAAAGAAAATGGAAGTTAATTCCTAATTCATCAGTTAACCTATAATGTTTATTACATACTTACTTTTATTTTATTTTTAATCCTCACCCGGGGACACTTTTTTTTTTTTTTTTTTTTTTGCATTTATCTTCAGATAGAGTGGGAGGGAGAGAAGGAGGAAGCTAGAGGGAGAAACATCGATGTGAGAGAGACACATCAAGTAGTTGCCACTCACACGACCCCAGCTGGGGTTGGGCTGGGGACTAACTGCAACCAAGGTACGTGCCCTTAGCAGGAACCGAATCCGGGACTCTCCGGTCTGCGGGCCAGTGCTCTAACCGCTGAACCAAATCAGCCAGGGCCATACCTGCTTTTACATGCAGTCTGTTTTCTTAGGCTCAGAGGGATCACATTGGTTTTAAAAAATAAAATAAAAATTAGTTTAGTGGGGAACTCGCAACCCCAGTTAGCTACTTCTTTCGTATTCTTCAAATAACATGATAATAGTAAATCACTAATCTTACTCTTTGCACATAAGTAAATGCTTTTGTTAGTTGAGTAAATATGTCTGTGAGGTCACTGTATATACGATAAGACCAATACTATGGCACAATGTTGTGGTTTTTTAGGAAGTATATCTCTATTTTAAGGACACGAAAAGTATAAGCTAAATAATTGAAGATATATCCCTGGCCAGTTTGTCTCAGCGGTTAGAGCGTCAGCCCTCGGACCACAGGGTCTCAGGTTTCAATTCCTAGTCAAAGTCCTGTGACAGGGTTTTGGGTTTGATCCCCAGCCACGATTGGGGTCATGCAGGAGGTCAGCAATCAATGTGTCTCTCGCACATTGATGTCTCTCTCTCTTTCCCTCTCCCCTTTCCACTCTATCTAAAAATCAATGGAAAAATATCCTCAGGTGAGGATTAACAACAACAAAAAAAGAAGATATATATCAACTATGGAAATTTTTTATTTATGTTATTCTCTAGAATAATATATAGACCAATTTTGGCTTTGTTCTATTTCTTTGTGCCAGGTATTAGATTTTTTTTTTTTTTATCCTCACCCGAGGACATTTTTCCATTTTTTGTACAGATAGAGTGGGAGGGAGAGAGAGGAAGAGATAGAGAGAGAGAAACATCGATGTGAAAGGGACACATCTAGTGGCTGCCACCGCACGACCAACCAGGGCCGGGGACAAACCGCAACCGAGGCACGCGCCCTTAGCGGGAACTGAACCCGAGTCTCTCAGGACCGCAGGTCGACGCTCTAACCACTGAGCAAAACCGGCCAGGGCCAGGTATTAGATTTTTATTTTAGTTTGACTACCTCAGATTCCTTCATCTGTTGCACAGGTAGTGAAAAGCAAACAATGCTATCTGTATATGAAACAAGAACTGGAGGAGAGAGGTAGGCTAAGCAGAAAAGGACAGTGAGAAAAGAAAGGGTGAAATCCAGATGACAGAGAAAATGAGATTTGCTTAAGGTAAAGACACAGTTGTTTCAGAAAACAGCATGGTTAGTGCAAGTATTTTTTTTAATGGCCCAAATAATAGCTGCATTTTTCTTGATACATTTTTTAAAATCAAGTTTCCACATTGACAGTGTAACTTTTTTGGCCTCAGGTATATACTCTTGATGTACCAGATGCATTCTATTACTGTTACAGTCCAGACCCCAGTAATGCAAATGGAAAAGATGCCGTAATGGAAGCAATGGCTGAGCAGATAGTTACCTTATGTGCTAGCCTTGATGAAAATCCCGGAGTAAGGTTTAAAAGGTAAAGCACTCAATACTGTCTGTTTATGTTATGTTTTCTGTTTGCTCTCCAATGTAGAGGTAAGTAATGTCTTGTGTTTAGGTGGATTGGTTTGCAGAATTTTCCTTGTAAAATTATGCTGTACTTAAAGATTTAAAGTGTGAGGTTTAAATTTCAGAGTAACTAATAGCCTCTGTTACTGAATTTCAGAGCTTAAATTTGGTATAACTTACAGGCATGTTTTTCCATGAGTTTAAGGAATGCTTAGAGGAAATGTCTCTGTTGTCATATAGGGGCTACAGTCTTACATTTATTTATTTATTTATTTTCTTTATTAATTTTAGAAAGAGAGAAAGGGAGAGGGAGAGAGAAATAGAAACATCGATGAGAGAGAACATCGATTGGCCACCTCTTGCATGTCCCCCACTGGGGATTTGGCCCACACCCTGTGCATGTGCCCTGACCGGGAATCGAACCAGTGACCTCTTTGTGCATGGGTTGACATTCAGCCACTGAGCCACATTGGCCAGGCATTACATTTATTTTTTTATCTTTTATTTTTATTTTTAATCCTTTCATGAGGATATATTTTTCACTGATTCTAGAAAGAGGAAGGGAGAAAAAGAGAGACATCAATCGGTTGCCTCCCACACACACCCTGACTGAGGATCATACACACCCCTATGAAGGATCAAACCCACAACCTGGGTATGTACTCTGACCAGGAGTCAAACTCACCGCATTTTGGTGTATAGGACGAAGTTCCAACAAACTAAGCCACACTGACCAGGGCTCAGCAATTATACTTTTAGATGTAATATATCTGGAGAAACATGTACATGCAATATATGTACAAAGATGTTTGTTTCATTGTTGTTTGCAATAGGATAGAATTGAGAATGACTTAAATATCCACCTTTAGGGGAGTGAATACATAGCATCCAGTAAAATTATTTGATAGAAGTATATAGAACTAAAATGAATAAATTTGATATATATGCCAGTGTACATCTCAAACATATATATAACAGTAAAAACATACATTGTTAAAAAAAAAAATATATATATATATATATATAAAACAACTATGAGTTATCACTTCAGACCTGTCAGAATGGACGCCATCAACAAATCATCAAACAAGTGTTGGCAAGGGTGTGGAGAAAAGTGGACTCACGTACACCTGCTGGTGGGAATGCAGACTGGTGCAGCCACTGTGGAAAACACTATGGTGTTACCTCAAATATTTAAAAATTGATCTGCCATTTGACCCAGTGATCCCACTTCTAGGAATATATCCTAAGAAGCCTGAAATTCCAATCAGAAAGAGTATATGTACCCCTATGTTCATAGCAGCACTATTTACAATTGCTAGGCTCTGGAAACAGCCCAAGTGTCTATCAGTAGATGAGTGGATAAAAAAGCTGTGGTACATGTTCACAATGGAATACTATGCAGCTGTAAGAAAGAAAGATCTCTTATCCTTTAAGATGGCATGGAAGGACCTGGAAAATATTATGCTAAGTGAAACAAGCCAAGCAGAGAAAGACAAATATCACATGATCTCATTTGTGGAATATAATGAACTAAACAAACTGCTGAACAAAATTAACCCAGAGACATAGAGGTGGGGTACAGACTGAAAAGCCTCAGAAGAGGGGGGTTTGAGGGGAGAAGAGATAAACCACAGAACTTACATGCATATATGCATGACCAATGAACATAGACAACAAAGCTGGGGATGGGGTGGGGGGGAAGGGGAGGAGGGTATTAGTGGGGGAAAAATGAGAAACATCTGTAACAAAAACAAATTAATAAAATATATATATATATAAAACAGTAATGGCAGGAAGAATACACATTGAATTCATGATAGTGGTTTCCTTGGGGGTGTAGGGGGTTAATGGTAGGGGAGAAGACAAGGAATTGGAAGAGGAGTAAAGGGAAATGCAATTTTATTGATAATATTTTCTTTATATTAAAAAAATCTGAAGTACATACAGTAAAGTTTACATTTATAAAATCCAAATTGGTATAACATTATATTTGATATTTTACTGTTTGAACTTTTCCATTTCATAAAATTTTTTAAATTAATAAATTGCATGATCTAATTTTAGAATTCAACTTTATGATATTGTAAAGTGTCTTAAAAGAAAGATAAGTGATTGACAATTTTTTCCATTTCTAGTAAACCTCTAGATAATGCCAGTAAGCTTGCTCAACTTGTTGAAAAAAAACTTGAAAACTACTATAAGACAGATGAAAAGAGCCTAATAAAGGTAATGTATAAAAGGCACACAGTGATTATGCATACAGTCTGACTTATTTCTTTATAAACCAAAGAAGCTATTGTTTATTTTTCAGTGTTGATTTTGGAATCATTAACATAAGTCCCCAATATTGGTTTGAGAATCATTAGTATAAATGGTAGTGGAAACCTTAATAGACAGTGGGGTTTAGTGGGGAAGATACAGGTTTTGTAAGTACTGTGTCCAAATTTTGGCTCTGCCATTTAATTCATAGATATGTCAGTTTGGGCAAATTAGGTAACTTCTCTGTGCCTAAGTTTTCTTAACTATAGAATGGGAGTAATGAGAGAATACCTAGTTTATAAAGTAGTGAGAGGATTAAATGAGTTAATATATGTAAAGTTCATAGAATAATGCTTGCCACTGAGTAAACATTTAATAAATACAGTTATTCCTGTTATTACTAGCTCTGTGACCTTGAACAAATTATTTACTCTGAGTTGTATTTTCTTCTCTGAAATGGATGATATAACATATACCTTGCTTGCTTGCTTGCTTGCTTGCTTGGTATGAAGATTAGGTCAGTTAACATGTGTTTGGCACATACAGTAGTTTAATAAATGCAGTTGTTAGTATCTTATGAAAATAGTATAAAGTAGTCAAAGACTAGGGTTGGAACCCGGGAATACCAGCATTTAGGCATGGGTTGGAGAATGAAGAGCCTTACAGAGGTGGTGCCAGAGGGCTGGGAAGCCATATTATAGTAACTAAGGAATGAAAGAAAGAACTGAGATTGTTGAGGAGATGGGCAAGGAAACCACCAATTACAATGCTATGTGATAAGTGGAATGAGAAAAGAATACATAGAATGTAATGGGAACATAGGCTGGGGTTCATTCTTATTCTAACTGGAGTCCTGGAAGGCATCCTGGAGGAAGAGGCCCTTGAGCTTGAAGAATGAGTATAACATGATGGAAGAGGGACTTTATTGCTTAGATAACAGGATGTTTGGGGCAGAGGCATAGAGAAAAAGGCAAAATTCATGTTCAAACACCTTAGGTTTTGCAAGTACTGTGTGGGAATGGAGGGTTTAAAGCTTAGATATAATGTTAGTTTAGAAATGTAAAAGTTTTTGCTTTGGAGATCTAGTGAAAACTGTTGTGGTTTGTAGATTTGAAGACAATGGCTCAGTATACATAATATAGTAAGTAGTCAATACATGTTTATTGAATGAGGGAAGAGGTGTATAATTAGTATATTAATAAGTATCCTTCAATCCTTCATGATTTCAGTGAAAAAAGGCAATCCACAAAAATACATAAGTAAAACTCATCTTTTCCATTCCTCCTGCCTGGAAAACTGTATATTCTTTCAAATGCTTGATACCTTTCTTTCCTTTATTCAAGGATTTGATAAAGTGTAACCTCCCTTTTGAAGCTTTTCCTGACTCTTCAGGTCAAGTGAGGCTTCCTCCCCATCCTGTCGTAACCCCAAGTCCTGATATAGCAGTTGATTTTCCTGTTTCTGTTTCTGAAAACTCAGAACTTAACATGTATTGAAGGCTCATGCAGTGCCAGACTGTGCTAATTGTTTCATGGTACTATATTTAATCTTGACAATGATTTTTTTTTTTTTTTTTGTCGTTAATTCTTACCTGAGGATATTTTTCCATTGACTTTTAGATCTAGTGGGAGGGAGGGAGGGGGGAGAAAGAGAAACATCGACATGAGAGAAATACATTGACACTGGGGATCGAACCTGCAACTGAGGTATGTGCCCTTGACCAGGAATTGAACCTGCGACTCTTTGGTCCGAGGGCCAATGCTCTAACTGCTGAGCCAAACTGGCCAGGACTTTACAATGATCTTATAAGCAGAGTTTCTTACTATATTTTGTTTTACAATTGAGAATTCTGAGATATTAACAAGTTAAGCAATTTACCCAAAGTCATAAAGTGGTCAAAACTGGACTCAAACCCAGATCTATCCAATGTAAGGTTTATTTAAATGAGTGAATAGTTAATTAAACATATTTTTAAAAGATCTATCCTATGTAATTTACCTCTGCTGTATGTAAATAAATAGTAAATATTTATCTAATGAGTTATAAGTCTATCTTCCTGCTTTGAATAATCCAAATAATTTATTACTTTTTAAAATGAAGTATGAAAGATAGTGATATTTCCTAGCTGGTGTGGTTCAGTGGACTGAGTGTCATCCTGTGCTCCGAGAGGTCACCAGTTTGATTCATGGTCAGGGCACATACCCAGGTTGAGAGTTCACAGCTGATCAATGTTTCTCTCTCATAGATGTCTCTCCCCCTCTCCCTTCCTCTCTGTCTAAAAATCAATAAAACATATTTTTTTAAAAAGAAAGATGTTGATGTTAACAATTATTTTTCCGACCACTGTTATTCACTGTTTAATGATTAATGTTTTTTGTGAATTAGTGAAAATAATTCACTTTCATTAAGATTTATTATCTTAGCTTGTATCAGTCTTTTTAAATAGTGTGATGGTTAAGAGCACAGGCTGTGGAGTGAATCTGACCTGGATTTGAATCTCCATTCTGCCATTTACTAGCTATGTGATTTGGGCAAGTTTTAAGCCTTAATCCCCTCATTGTCAAATGGAGATAAGACTACCTGTCTCATAGAGTTGCTATAAGAAATAACTATATATGTATTTTCTGCTCAGCAATCTGTAACACAAAGAGCTCAAGTAATAGCTACATTTCATACATTATATCAGTGTTTATGGAGCTGAATTCCTAAGAAAATAGATTTAATGCAAGCCAAATGTTACTTTTTTAAAAGGAATTTTCACAATATTATTGAGCATATCCTCAACCTAATTATGAAAACTTTTGGTTTTGTAGTTTGGGTTTATTCCCCCCTATTGTGCCACTCAGCTTTTCCTGTTTTAATACAATGGAATAGGACTTAGGAAAAGTCTGCTTTTGTTTTCTAAGATAGTAAAAATGTATCTACACAAAGAAATGGAAGTTTCTTAAGATAATTTTATCTTGTTATTCCAGGGTAAAACTCATTCCCAACTCATAATAATCGATCGTGGCTTTGATCCTGTGTCCACTGTCCTGCATGAACTGACGTTTCAAGCAATGGCATATGATCTGCTGCCAATTGAGAATGATACATACAAGCAAGTATAACTTGAAGGGCATGTAAAGGGCATATACAAACAGGATTAAGATATAAGCAATTAATGATTGTTGTAGGCACCAGAAATCTAAAGTCTTGTAACCTTTTTAAATTATTTTTTAATTTTGTTAATCCTTACCTGAGGATATTTTTCCACTGATTTTTAAATATGTTTTTATTGATATTTTAGAATGAGAGGAAGGGAGAGAGAGAGAGAAACATTGATGTGAGAGAGACACATCAATTGGCTGCCTTCTGCATGCCCCTTACTGAGGATCGAGCCCGCAACTTACAACCAGGGTCCTTGAAATACTGTGCATCGAACTGGACCTCTCAGTCCATGGGATGCTGCTCAATCCACTGAGCCACATCTGCTGGGCTCCACTGATTTTTAGGTAGAGTGGAAGGGAGGGAGGGAGAGAGAGAGAAACAACGTGAGAGAGACACATCAATTGGTTGCCTCCTGCACAACCCCGACTAGGGCTGGGGATCGAACCTGCAACCCAGGTACGTGCCCTTGACCTGGAATTGAACTTGAGACCCTTTGGTCCGAGGGCTGATGCTCTAACTACTGAGCCAAACTAGCCAGGGCTGTAACCTTTTTTTTTTTAATTTTTTCTTTTTTTATTGATTCTTTTAGGGAGAGGGAGAGAGAGAGAGACAGAAACATTGATGAGAGAGAACATTGATTGGCCGCCTCTTGCATGCCCCCCACTGGGGATCTAGCCCACAACTTGGGTATGTGCCCTCAACTGGAATTGTGACCTCCTGGTGCATGGGTTGATGCTCAACCAGTGAGCTACACTGGCTAGGCCAGGGATGTAACCTTTTTTATTCAGAGGCTTTATCCTTCTTTCTCCTATAATCATAGTCTATTAAAAATATCTTGACCGTGTAAGTTAATGGGTAATTTGACTGCTTTGAAGCTTTTTTGGTGTATTTGCTTCCTTAACTATGTCTATAACAAAACTACATTTAAACAGGTGGAATCTGGACTTTTCACTTAATTTTAAGAGTAAATACCAGACTTACTACTATATTTATTGAAGTGAAAACCATATTCAAACTGGTTAGGCTGTAATTATTCTGAAACATACACCCAAAAGTATCTGTATGTGTCTCTTATCAATGTTTTATATATATATATATATTTTTTTTTTTTTTACTTTAAAAAAATATATTTTTATTGATTTTTTTTTTAGACAGAGAGGAAGGGAGATAGAAACATCGATGTGAGAGAGAAACATTGATTGGCTGCCTCCTGCATGCCCTCCACTGGTGATCGAGCCCACCATTTGGGCTTGTCCCCTGACCAGGAATCAAACTGGGACCTCTCAGTCAATGGGACGATACTCGGTCCACTGAACCACACTGGCTGGGCACATAGCGTTTACTTTTATCAGTTGGTTTTAGGGTACAGCTTTTGTAAATATGATTTTGCTTTAGTTTCTACTTTCAGCATGGAGCAGTGGCACAGTAAGTTGAGGCCTTGTCTACAAGCTTCCTATGAAACTGCTAAGGCTCCTTGCAGGTTCTTGGTGAACCAACCACCAAGTGTTTGTTTTCTAACTCAGGCTGGCTGTTGGTATCTAATATAGTTACTCTCTTTAAAGTAACATGTTAATAATGTAATGTATTTTAAAAGATTAGAAGATTAAATAGGATGGCTGTTGAGATAGACAAAGTTTTACCAGTTTGGTACCTATTATTGACTTAACTCTGATATAAGCATATTTACTTTAAAAGTAATGTCAAATAGCCCTGGCTGGTTTGGCTCAGTGATTAGAGTGTCCACCTGTGGTCCGGAGAGACCCGGGTTCAGTTCCTGCTAAGGGCATGTACCTTGGCTGCAGTTTGTCCCCGGCCCTGGTTGGGTCATGTCGGTGGCAACCACTTGATGTGTCCCTTTCACATCGATGTTTTTCTCTCTCTCTCTCTCTCTCTCCCACTCTATCTGAACAAAATATTGAAAAATGTCCTCAGGTGAGGATAAAAAAAATAATAGTAAAAATAAAAATAGCCTTAAGCAGTTTATTCAGAATTTTCAAAAAAGATTATTATTATACTTTAAACAGTAAAGATAAATTTTAAAAAAGAAATAAAATTTTAATTTTGCTGAAATAAAAAAAAAATAGGGATTAACCTGGCCGGTATGGCTTAGTGATTGATCAGGGTCCCATGGACTAGAGCTCCCTGGTCCATTCCAGTCAGGTCGCATGCCCTGGTTGCAGGCTCAATCCCCAGTAGGGAGTGTGCAGGAGACAGCCAATCAATGTTTCTTTCTCACATTGGTATTTTTATTTCTCTCTCCCTTCCTCTCTCTCTAAAAAAAATAAAATAAAATCAATAAAAATATGTATATTTTTAAAGGGATTATTACTACCTCTCTATCCTTTAGGTCTCTAAACCTGCATTGCTCAAGATATTCACAAAAGGATTAAACTGATAGATACTAAAGAATTTGGTTTCAGACTATAGACATATATTTTAGACATTTCTGAGTATTTAAAAGACTTATCTTCCCATGTTTGCTAGCAAGCAAAGCAAGGTTTAGTTTTTTAAGAGTAAGAGAGAGATTTATTTATTTATTTATTTTTTTATTTTTTGTTTGTTCAGATAGAGTGGGAGGGAGAGAGAGGAAGAGAGAGAGAGAGAAACATCGATGTGAAGGGACACATTGAGTGGCTGCCACCCGCACGACCAACCAGGGCTGGGGACTAACTGCAACCGAGGTACATGCCCTTAGCGGGAACCGAACCCGGGTCTCTCTGTGCCGCAGGCCGACGCTCCAACCGCTGAGCCAAACCGGCCAGGGCGAGAGATTTATTTTTTAAAAATACACAAAATTCCTTTTTTTAATGAATCAAAGAAGTCCAGGAATAAGACTAGATGGAGGCATGATCTTCCTATGGTTTGTGCTCTGTTAGAATTTTTAATGGAAATAAATACAAAGCAGGAAATGCTAAGTTCCTAGAATCTGTTTTTCATCTTGGTGACGTCTTTGAATGTACTCTTAAAATGGAATTGTCATCTTTTAGTATCGTTGGGCTTGCTACCTTGATTTTTGTTTGTAAATCAGAGGTTAAAGATACTCTGTAAGTACAAAATGGCATTTTAAATTACCAAAGGGCTTTGATCATTAGGTACAGCCTTGTAATTAAGCACCCTCATTCTACCTTTGGGCGTCTGTAATTAAGACCACATAGATAGATGGTTTTATAGGTGGGACCTGTAATATTTTGGGCTATGGAAGTGATTGGATTCATGCAACAGAAATCGACATTTATTGTTTATTGCCCAGAGCTGGGAAAACTCAGTGCTGTTCCTAATCTTTGTTCAGGAAATTGACAGTCCCCAAGATTATTGAATCTCCCTAACTCCCTAAATGGAAGGAGTCTGTCTGCATGAAAAGAGAAGGGAGAGGATTTGGGGAAGCAGTCAGGAAGCCCATTTTAAGTAATGTCATGAACCCCTTAACTTGCTTTGCTGCTCACTTCAGTAGAATTTGTTAAAGCAATCACAATTTGTTATGGCTCCATTAGTTTTTCTCTCATTTTCTTTCCCATTCTTTTTTTAAAAATTGAATTTATTGGAGTAACATTGGTTAATAAAATTATATAGATTTCAGGTCCTTTCCCATTCTTAAAAGGAGATGTTGTTATAGGGTTAGGGAAGAAGGATATAGAAACAAATGATACATGTTTGTGAATTTTGTGCCAGCTCTGAAACACTGTCAGTCTTTAATAGGCTACATTATGGGTGACATTTCTGTTCGTCACTTAATGGATATTTGATAGTTGAGCTGATGATTATTAGAATATCAAAATCATGTTTAATCAAATAGCACACAAATTATTAGTATACTCAGTCTTGTTCTTAAAGTTGATTGTAGAACGTTGAATTTTTGTTTTATAAAATACTATTTTGCTAACCTAAAACTTTATAATAATGATAGCTAAATCAAACATTTGGAAGTAAAAATGTCTTGGTAAGCATAGCACTTTGATTTTTAATGTAAGGGTTACAATACACCTTAGTTTTGAGTAGGTGTTTATTCATCATCCCCCCAAAATAGTGGACATGTACTCTTTAGTTCTTGAGCTATATCTTAAAATTATTGTTTGTAAAAATGTTTCTTCCACTTTTTTTGGGGAAAATAATCTAAAAATGTTATACTTCTGTCTACTGGTAGATATAAAACAGATGGGAAAGAAAAGGAGGCAGTCCTTGAAGAAGATGATGACCTCTGGGTCAGAATTCGACATCGGCATATTGCGGTAGTATTAGAGTATGTGAAACTATTTTAATTTTTATTCCATATTTTTGGACCCTACATGAAAGTACATTTTGTAATCTTAAAATATCTCTGTAAAGAATTACACCTTAGAAAATGAAAAAATTCTCTCAATTTGACAGGGAAATTCCCAAGCTTATGAAGGAAATTTCGTCAACAAAAAAAGCAACAGAAGGAAAGGTAAGAGTCTTCTTATTTAACTTTCAAAACAATGATGAAGGTGAATTTTAAAGTTTGTTTAGAATTTTTTTTTATATCCTCACCCGAGGACATTTTTTTTTGCATAGAACGAGAAGGAGAGAGAGGAAAAGAGAGAGAAAGAAACATCGATGTGAGAGAGACACATTGACTGGTTGCCACCTACACGACCCCAACCAGGGCGGGGACAAAGTGCAGCCGAGGTACGTGCCCTTAGTGAAAACCAAACCCGGGTCTTTCTGGACTGCGGGCCGACACTCTAACCACTGAGCCAAACTGGCCAGGGCAAGTGCACAGATCTTAAGTGTATGCTGAATAAACGCGGAGTCACAACTTAAATCAAGATGCACAACATTTTCATCTTTCCAGAAGGTTTACAGTGACATAATCTGTAAATAAAGAAAATTTAGCCTTTTCAACCTTTATTTTAAACTAGCTTTGTTAGTAGTTAATACCTCCTAGCTCTATAACGTAGACTAGAACAGGTTATAGAGGATATTATTGTTTCATTCCTAACCTTAGGGGAAACGTGTTTGATACTATTTTATCATTGAGTATAATGCTAGTTTTAGGTTATTTGGATACATCTTTTTCAGATTAAAGAAGTTCCCTTCTAGCCCTGTCTGGTTTGGCTCAGCCTGTGGACCAAAGGGTCTCAGGTTCAATTCCCAGTCAGGACACATACCTGGGTTGCAGATTCGATCCCTGGCCCCAGTTGGGGTTATATGGGAGGCAACCAATAGATGTGTCTCTCTCACATCAATATCTCTGTCTCTCTCTCTCTCTCTCTTTCTCTCTTCCACTCTAAAAATCAATGAAAAAGTATCTTTGAGTAAGGATTAACAAGAAAAAAAAAGGAGGAGGAAAGTTTCCTTCTATTCTTAAGTTCCTAACAGGTTTGAAAAATCAGGAATAGGTATTGCATTCATCAAATGCTTTCTCAGCATCTATTTTTGTTGTTGTTGTTACAGATGTTTCTCCTTTTTACCCCATTGACACCCTCCTCCCCATCCTCCCCACCCCATCCCTGGCTTTGTTGTCCATGTCCATTGGTTATGCGTACATGCATATAAGTTCTGTGGTTTATCTCTTCCCTCCCCCACCACCCCCTCTTCTGAGGGTTGTCAGTCTGTACCCTACTTCCACGTCTCTGGGTCTACCCTATTCCTCAGACTGTTATGATCATTATATTCCACAAATAAGTGAGATCATGTGGTATTTGTCTTTTTCTGCTTGGCTAGTTTTGCTCAGGATAATACTTTCCAGGTCCCTCCATGTCATCTCAAAGGATAAGAGATCTCTCTTTCTTACAGCTGCATAGTACTCCATTGTGTATATGTACCACAGCTTTTATATCCATTCATCTACTGATGGATACTGGGGCTGTTTCCAGATCTTAGCCATTGGAAAGAGTGCTGCTATGAACATGGGGGTACATATATTTTCTGATTGGTATTTCAGGCTTTTTAGGGTATATACCGAGAAGTGGGACCTCTGAGTCAAATGGCAATTCAATTTTTAATTTTTTGAGGTAACACTATATTGTTTTCCATAGTGGCTGCACCATTCTGCATTCCCACCAGCAGTGTCCTAGAGTCTTCTTTTCTCCACACCCTTGCCAACACTTGTTTGATGATTTGTTGATGGCGGCCATTCTGACAGGTGTGAGGTGATACCTCATTGTTGTTTTAATTTGCATCTCTCTGATGATTAGTGATGTTGAGCATTTCTTCATATGTCTCTTGGCCATTTGTATGTCCTGTTTGGAGAGGTGTCTATTCAGCTCCTCTGCCCATTTTTTAATTGGGTTCTTTGTCTTCCTTTTGTTAGGTTGTATGAGCACTCTATATATTTTGTAAAGTAACCCCTTATCTGATGTATCATTGGCAATGATGCTGTCTCATACAGTAAGTTGCCTTTCCATTTTGATGGTTGTTTCTTTTGCTGTGCAGAAGCTTTTCAGTTTGATGTAGTCCCATGTGTTCATTTTCTCCTTTGTTTCTGTTGCCTTAGGTGATGTATCAGTGAAAATTCTGCTCCGTATGATGTCTGAAATTTTGTTGCCTACATTTTCTTCTAGGATTTTTATGGATTCACAGGTCACATTTAAGTCTTTTATCCATTTTGAGTTTATTTTTCTGTATGGTGTAAGTTGATGGTCTAGTTTCGTTTTTTTGCATGTAGCTGTCCAGTTTTCTCAACACCATTTATTAAAGAGGCTATCTTTACTCCATTATATGCTCTTGCCTCCTTTGTCAAATATTAATTGAGCATAATGTCTTGTGTCCAATTCTGGGCTCTCTGTTCGGTTCCGCTGGTCTATATTCCTGTTCTTGTGCCAGTACCAGGCTGTTTTGATTACAGTCAACCTGATATCTGGTGTTGTGATCCCACCTATGTTGTCCTTCTTTTTCAAGATTACTGTGGCTATTCAGGATCTTTTTTGGTTCCATATGAACTTTTGAAGTATTTGTTCTAGTTCTGTGAAATATGTTGTTGGTGTTTTGATGAAGATTTCATTGAATCTATAGATTGCTTTGGGTAATATGGACATTTTAATGATGTTAATTCTTCCAATCCATGAACAAGGTATGTGCTTCCACTTTTTTATATCTTCCTCTATTTCTTTTTTCAATGTCCTGTGGTTTTCTGCAAATAGGTCCTTTACTTCTTTGGTTAAGTTTATTCCTAGGTATCTTAATTTTTTTGCCACGATGATAAATGGGATTTTTTTCAGTTTCTCTTTCTGTGAGTTCATCTTTGGTGTATAAGCTTGTCATTGATTTCTTGACATTAATTTTGTATCCTGCTACTTTTCCAAATTCATTTATTAAGTCTAGTAGGTTTTTGATGGAGTCTTTAGTGTTTTCTATGTATAATATCATGTCATCTGCAAATAATGACAGTTTCACTTCCTCTTTCGAATTTGGATCCCTTTTATTTTTTCTTCATGTCTGATTGCTGTGGCTGAGACTTTCGGTACTATGTTAAATAAGAGTGGCGAAAGTGGGCATCCCTACCTTGTTCCTGTTCTTAAGGAAAATGCTTTTAGTTTCTTCCCATTGAGTATGATATTGGCTGTAGGTCTTTCATATATGGCCTTTATTATGTTGAGATATGATCACTCTATTCCCACATTGCTGAGTGTTTTTATTAGAAATGGATGCAGGATTTTGTTGAATGCTTTTTCATCATCTATAGATATGATTATTTGGTTTTTATTCTTTATTTTATTTATGTGGTGTATCGCATTTATTGATTTGCGAATATTGTACCAGGCTTGCATCCCTGGGATGAATCCCACTTGGTCATGGTGAATAATTTTTTTGATGTATTGCTGGATCTGACTGGCTAGTATTTTGTTCAGGATTTTGGCATCTATGTTCATGAGGGATATTGGCCTGTAGTTTTCTTTCTTTGTAGTATCTTTTTCTGGTTTTAGAATTAGAATTATGCTGGCCTCATAAAATGAGTTTGGAAGTCTTTCTTCTTCTTGAATTTTTTGAAATCGTTTGAGGAGAATGGGTGTTAGTTCTTCTTTGAATGTTCTGTAAAACTTCCCTGTAAAGCCATCTGGGCCTGGGCTTTTGTTTGCTGGGAGAGTCTTGATTACCTCTTCAATTTCCTTAGTTATTGGTCTGTTCAAGTTTTCTATCTCTTCCTGGTCCAGTTTTGGGAGACTATGTGTTTCTAGAAATTTGTCCATTTCGCTTCGATTGTTGAATTTGTTGCCATATAATTGTTCATAGTAGTTGTTAATGATCTTTTGTATTTCTGTGGTGTTAGTTGTTACTTCTCTTTTATTTCTGATGTTGTGTATTTGGGTTCTCTCTCTTTGTTTCTTGGTGAGTCTGGCTAAGGGTCCATCAATCTTGATTATCTTTTCAAAAAACCAGCTCCTTCTTACACTGATCCTTTAAATTGTTTTTTTTGTCTCTATTCATTTATTCTGCTATTATCTTTACTGTTTCCTTCCTTCTACTTGCTCTGGAGTTTTCTTTTGTTTGCTTTCTAGTTCTTTAAGTTGTGGGGTTAGATAGTCTATTAGAAATTGTTCTTGGTTCTTAAGGTAGGCCTGTATTGCTATGAACTTCCCTCTCAGAACTGCTTTTGCTGCATCCCATAGATTGTGTGCTGTGTGTGTTCATTTTCATTGGTTTCCAGGTAGTTTTTAATTTCTTCCTTGATGTCCTTGTTAACTCATTTATTGTTTAATAACATGCTATTTAGCCTCCATTTGTTCAAATGTCTTTGCATGTTCTTCTTGCAATTGATTTCTTGTTGCTATTGTGATCTGAGAAGATGCTTGATATGATTTCAATCTTCTTCAACTTGTATAGATGTAATTTTTGTCCTAACATGTGGTCTATCTTTGAGAATGTCCCATGTGTACTTGAGAAGAATGTGTATTTGGTAGCTTTGGGGTGTAATTCTCTGTAGATATCTATTAAATCCATTTGGTCTAGTGCTTCATTTACAGTCTCTGTTTCCTTGCTAATTTTTTGTCTAGACGATCTATCCAGTGATGTCAGCGGAGTGTTGAAGTCCCCTGCTATGATTATATTGCTATTGATTTCTCCTTTGAAGTCCTCCAGAAGATTTTTATTACATTTTGGTGCATATATGTTTATCAAGGTTACATCTTTCTGTTGGGTAGATCCTTTCAATATTATGTAGTGGCCTTCTTTGTCTCTAGTTATGGCCTCCCTTTTGAAATCTGTTTGATCAGATATGAGTATTCCTACTCCAGCTTTTTTTTTCTTTCCATTTGCTTGGAAGATTTTTTTCCATCCCTTTACTTTCAACCTATGTGAGTCTTTTGTTGTGAGGTGAGTCTCTTGTAAACAACATATAGATAGATGAGTCATGCTTTCTTATCCAAGCAGCTACTCTGTGTCTTTTTATGGAGCATTCAGTCCATTTACATTTAAGGTGATTATTGATATATACTTATTTATTGCCATTTTTGTTTAGTGTGGTTC